CATTCTCCAGAAGGGCGGTTGCTTTACCGCATCCCAACTCCAAAATGCTACGTAAAATATGATCCAATTTAACAGAATTTGGTCATCCCTGATAAATTGAACAATTTCATCATTCAAGATTAGCTAATTAATGTATGGAGGTGTTATTTAATAGTGAGCATTATGTATGGTTGGTAATGATTTCATCATTTGTATGAACATAAATATATATTCCATTTTCTACGTCTAAATGTTCTACTCGTTTTATTTCATTAGTTTTACAAACTTAATCTAATAAAATAAGCACTCAATGTCGAAAGTAGATTGAAGTGTATACGGGCTGATTAGGGTGCAACATAACCAATTAACCAAACTAATATAATTAGCTTTTTAGCAACTAATAACATTGTTGTACCATAAGAGATTGATGCAATCTTTTGAAAGATTTCGATGGATGGAACTAGCCCGGCCATGGACAAACTCAATGTTGTAATAATACGTACCAATTCCTTTCCCTGTCTACTTGTTCAAAGTCGAGGCTCCTATCGATAATCAGGTTCTTGCCTTTAGCTGTTCGATAGCGTGACAAACTGATCCATATCTGATTGTGAAGCATCCTCCATAGCATAAATGGGAAGATGATAAGGTAAAAGAGGCTTCTATTCTCTGATTTTACTACGTACAAGTATATGCTGTGAATCACACCTGGTGCCACTAATATATACTTCATCACACACAAACAACATAACCAGCATAATGTGTTAGTAACCAACAACATAATTATATCTGGTTAAGGCTAAATTAGACCACATTAGAAAGATACTTATCATTCGTTAATGTACAAGAAAAAAATGAGTCTAAGAATAGGAGGGGTCATTTTCACCCAAATTAAAGATATACTCCCTTTGTCACTAAAATAAATATGTCGCATTAGGTTAAAGTTTACGTTAATGAAGAGATCAAAAGTTCTCTTTACGGATAACCTTTATCAACAAATTGACAAGACTTGAAAACATAAAAAGTTTTTTTTGAAAATGAAGCCACTACATCGTGCCTCATCAATCTCCATCGTTAACTTTTTATTACCTCGACTTGGCCTAGCCTCTATTACATCTATAAACAATACAAGCACGCAACAAGTAATTTTTTCATAATGACACACATTCTTATTGTTTCAACAGTAGCATGCATGCAAATTCATGCAAGATAACCCTAGCTACTTGACATATATATACAAGTGATACAAAATATATATGCCATATTAATGTAATTAATTAAGTGTTTAATTTACAATTAGAATGGAGGAAGAAACTAATTAAAGAGAGAAACCTTGAAGTTGCCAAGAGGCTCCCATGGCCAGTGCGTAAGAAAACCAGGAGTATAAGCCATACTATTTTTCTCTCAATAAAATAAACGCTAAATTTCTCTAGACGACAATGTTAGTCGTTATTAACAATAATAAGGCACGATGTATAGATGATACTAGCGTACTAGCTATATATAGAGAGAAGCAAAGCTGTAAAGGTTGGGTTGTACGTTCACTTCTTGCCCTTTAGATCAGACTTCATGCATGTGAATTAATTGGGCAGGTAAGGGTGTGCAAAATTTTGTTCGGACCGGACTGAATGATAAATTCCGCTCTGATATTTGGTCCTTAAAAAATCTTTTGCTATTAGAAAATCGGGTTCTAAGAGTCTGTTTTGTTCACCTTATTATTTTTACTTATTAAAGTTATAATAAGTCAATAGGTTAAGTAATACTGATAAGGAGTACCCAAGTTTAAATTACAACTAAAATAAGTTTTAATTAAGTCTAATTAGTTCAAATAAGATCAAATAAGTTTAGATAAGTAAAAATCAAGTGAAGTTATGATTTAAACTTCCCATTTAGGCCAATGACTTGGTTTCTTTGTACAATAGAAATTAGTTAAGCTTTGAGTTATGTACTTATTATACTTGCTTTAGTTTAAAAATACTTATATATGTTTTTTTTTTTCATTGGCTTTTGTATTGAATTTAGGATAATATCAAATTAAAAACAAAATACTTGAGCACTAATAAAAAAAATTCCAAGATTTTTAACATGTTACCCTCTTTCACTATATTCGACTTATACTATTCTAATTGATTTTTTATATATATATTTGCTTTTTGCATAATTATCAATATTCAATACAATATTATAATTAATACAAATATTTCAAAATATATATTGAAAAAAAAAATTACATATTTGAAAACACAAATTTAACGACTTTCACTATATTCTACTTATACTATTCTATTTGATTTTTTTTATATTTTCTTTTTGCATAGTTATCAATATTTAATACAATATTATAAAAAATATCAAACTATATATTAAAAAAAATTACGTATTTGAAAACACAAATTTAACGAGATCTCCTAAAACTATGTTTTAATTTGATTTATACTAATTGTTTTGATTTGCCATAAAATATCTCAAACAAAAACAAACGGAGGGAGCACTTTTGTTTCTTGTTTTGTCCTCTATACGTAACCATGCAAATTAAACTCTTAAACAAACCTTTGTCTTTTTCTTTAAAAGGATATAAATATCCCACATGGAAAGTCCGATTATTGCTTCCAACTATCGCACTTAGATCTGATATTTAGATCCGATAATTGTATCTATAGTAATTGAGTACAATTAAAACTAAATGATCGAAAATAAATGATAAAAAGGATATCTTCAAGGCAAAAATTTAATAAAAACAGGTAAAATATTAATACAGGATGTTGTAGTTGCTATCCACGGATATTTTGGACCACAACATAGTGTTATTAGACAGTGTACACTTGTATATAAGTATATGTCTACTTGTACGATATTTGTTATGATTGATAAGAAAGATAACTACCACAAACTATGAAATTACTACAAGTAATTATACTTGAAATAAATCACAAACTGTAAACAAACAGCTAATTGACTCTTAATTAGATTATTTTGACACGTGCATGAAACTAGCAGAGGATATGATATGTTTATCAGATTATCATCACCTATATATATTTAATTTGGCCGTACCTAATAGATTTCTTGTTAGAGATGAGCTTGTTAGATATTTTGTAGTACTTTGCATATTTTTGGTTTCAACGTATTAAGTTTGGGTTAGATCGAGTTCAGATCGATGAAGCATACATGTACAATATCATGTACATACAACATCGTATAAGTGATATTGGAAAAATCATTGTGAATGAAGAATGGAAGTTCGGGTTTTTTTTTTTTATAATTGAACGAGTTTGAAACAAAATACAAACAAACAAGCATAACTTAGCCAAGCTATCTTATCGATGATCAAAATGACTTACTGAGCCATACATGGAAGCTAATAAGTCTAAAATTTTGGCTCATTAAACAAATTACATTCTAATATATGTTGACTAGTACGTACTACATATATTAGAATGTAATTAGCTTCCATGTTTGGCTCAGTAAGTCATTCTAATGTAAATGTTTTACAAATTACATAAGCAAACTTTAACGAAAAGTGTTTTTTTTTTTCTTTTTTTTTGGCATTGGGTAAATAACAATACATTAAAGTTATTGACTAGTACGTACTACTGCATGATAATTTATTGTCTTCATAGCTGGCCATGCATTGTAACCCCACGTAGATAGTTAGGTGATATATATAAAAGGCAATAATAATTATAATAAGCAGTAACATAAATTCATAAAGGGTAACTATTTAATTTGATTGGGACCTAATCCTCACCTTCCATTTTCTTAGACTTTATGTTGTACTTGTACATGTATTAATATCTACAAATGATATAACCATTTTTTATTTTTATTTTTTTTTGGTGGTAGTAATGATAGATAAGAAAATACATTTACTTAAGGAGGCCCTTCTCTTGAATGGATTACCCGATGCATTTGGTCACTATTAATAATCGACGAGTAGTTGGCTATTACATGATCTATATATGTACATAGAAGATTGGATATAAGGTCTTATAAATTTAATTGCTATCCAATCAACTGTTCTATTGATCTATTGATAATGACAAGTTGTAATTTTTTGTTGGGGGTTCAAGACATTTTCCTGCGTTGATAACTACGAGATTGTCACCTTCAATGATGATATTTGAAATTTGGTTATAGTCCTTTGAATGTCCTTTAGGAAGGCGGTAGTAGTGCCAAGATTTTAGGTGTAAGTTTGTTCAAAATTGACATTGAGGTTGCAAATGATATAAATATCAAATATTGATTTTAAGTCAATCGAGCCATTATTGTTTAACCGACCCAAACCATATTGCCTTTAATTTGCAGTCAGGCAATTGTTTAGGGTTAAAACAAATCATGTGCCTTTGTTAGAGGATTAATTGCATGAACCAAAAAGGTTTAGTTTAGGGAAAGAGAGGAGGGGAATATTAATATTTTCAAATCCAGTAATAATTCTGCTTTCCCAAATCCAGTAATACATCCATGTTGCAAATTTGACGCACATAATTTCATGACTACGTCGCTATATTCTTCAAGTTGAAGATTTACTATCATAAACCCCACAAAAATGAATTGTTAGGGACACATTTGGTCTATTTAATTTGAATGAGGTGTACCTCTAAGGCTCTAAGTCCAATGACAGACTTTTTCTGGGCTGGCAAGGGGCCAATTGGGCCCCCTTAAATATATATGGGTATTTAGATACGGAGTAGATACTACATATTTCATTGTCCACTTGTACATATATATGTAACTACGTTGTCCATACATAACATAAAAGTTGTTTGTACCACTTCGATGTATCAAATTTGGTTTTCAAGTGTCTAACTCACAAAATCTTAGATCAAAAACAAAAAAACCACGACAGCTAAATTCTATAATTAATTAAGATGAGTAGGCATAAATGATTAAAACACTGACATATTCAAATTTTAAAACACGACATAAGACTATAAGAGTACATATTCTACATAACTACATATAATTAACTAAGATGAGTAGGCATAAATTAAATGATTAAAACACGACATAATCAAATTTTAAGCTAATTAATCTATTAGGAAAGTGTCAAGAATGGGCGAAATCCATGTCGAAGGGAAGCTTCCCAAACTTTGTCTATGTCGAAGGTCTTATCTCCACAATCATTGGCGTTCCACCCTTCCAAGGCGTGCACAATTCCGGCCACCCGTGGAGCACTCATCACCCTTCTTGTCAACCAATTCTGATACATACAAAGAAAGGGTTAAATTAGTTAAAGAAAGTAGCTAGCAGAGGGCGTACTTCAATAATAATTAAACAAAATTCGCGATAGATGTTGAGTAACAAACCTCACAAGAATGCAAGTTCTCAAAAGATTTAGGAGCTAGCATAGCTGGAGCAGTCAGATAGAAACAATCCTTCCTAGTTTTCTTTGGAGGGAACTGCGAAATGAGAATAAATAGTGTTCCTTTCGATGCCATGGATTGCTCACCTTTCGTCAAATCTTCCCCAACTAACCATACCTGTATAAAAGGTGCAATGTTGTTCTTGGTTATATTAGTTCTTCCATTTGATCACTAGCTAGCTAGCAATCGATTTAATCTAATTCCGAACAAATTACCATATAATGATTGTAACTCATTTCTGAATGGATCAAATTGATGCTATCTTCGTTCGCACGTTTTTTCTTAAGCTTCTCATGTTCATCCTTCTCTATGGTAAAAACCTATAGGTTAAGAGCATAGATCGGATTAGTACATAGTTAAGGTTAATTAGAATGTCTAATAAGACCAACAACAGTCGTCAATACTACCTCTGTTCAAGTTATTACTTTTAGATTATACTATCAACGTGACTACTAATAGTTAGAACTGTCAGTTTCTAACCCGAACCGTTAAACCCGACTGTTTTGAACCGATCCGAAAAGGAACTGAATCGTAAAAAACCCGTTTTTTGGAAACCGAAAACCGACTCAACCCAATTTTTCCTAATCCGAAACTGAACTAAACAAAATTTGTGTGAACCTTTACTAACCCGACCCGTTATCAAACCAAACCGTAACAACCCGAAACTGAAAACAACCTGAACCGATTACGTCTAAACCCGATAGTAACCCGGCCCATTTTAAACCAAAAACCGTTTAAACCCGGCAAAAATCCGATAAACCTGAACCGGTCCAACCCGTAATCCGATCCGTTGTGACCGAACCATTTATAACCCGTAACCCATTATGACCGAATCGTCTCAAACCAGTAACCCGTTGAGACCGAACTGTTTACGACCCGTAACCCGTTGAGATCGAACCGTTTACAACCGGTAACCCGTTATAACTGAGTCATTTACAACGCGTAACCCAATATGTCTATGATCTGATGCGTTTCAACCCACTGCTCGATAAACACAACTTATTTATGACTTAACTTGATTATAACAGACTCGTTCCTACCCAATATCTGACTAACTCGACTCGACAATGATCCGACTCGATTTTAACCCAATATAATTTGGACTGAAACCCGCTTTAAATTGGGTAAACCCGTTTTCAAACCGACCAAGTTCAATCCAAACCGATTATGACCTGAACCGATAATGACCGGATTCCCGATTTCACCCGATCTGTTTTGAATCAAAACCCATTTTCAAACCGACCCGGCTTAACCCAAACTGATTATGACCCGAACCGATTAGAACCCGACCCGATTAGAACCCGAACTATTTTAAACCGAAACCCACTTTAAACTGACTAAACCCGTTTTCAAACCGACTTGGTTCAACCCAAACTGATTATGACCCGAATCAACTATAACACGACCCGATTAGGACCCGACCCAAATAGAAACCGCAATAAAAAAGAAACCAAACCGAACTGACCCGATGATTTTCAAAACCGACCCAAATTGATCCGCTAATCATTTCAACTTGTTATAACCCGAAACTGATAATCCCAACCCAAACCTGAATTGTTTACCCGAATTGACATCCCTACTAATAGCAAGTAATTTGGACACATGGATTGCGTTTAACTAGATGGCAATATACTATCAATGCAGGTGACTACTAATAGTAAGGAATTTCTATGAAAGTTTTAGGCCCGTGATCTGATGTACGTTCATCAAGTCGATCAAGTTATGGGTCGGGTCAGGGTTAGTGCGGGTTAATTGCGGGTCGGGTCAATGTGAGTCGTGGGTTAATAGTGGGTTGATAATGGGCAGGCCAATAAACTAGTTTTGATAAATACTTCGTTTATATTGGACAAAATCATTATTATATATATATATATGAATACAAAAATATCTATGTAATTTTTTTACCTTATCTATTTTCTTTATATATTAAATTGGATAAACACTTTGGCCCTATATCGACCCTACCCAATAAGGGCCTTGTCCATTAAGGATCTTTTAAGCTTAACCCTAACCCTATTATTATTGGGCTACCCTACCCAATCTATTAGCTACTAAGTTTTTTCGTTCACTCAATATGTTTTTGTCCCACAAGAATTTCATCTTCTACTGTATATTCTTAAGACGAGGACTGCTCTCTTAGCAACTAACGAATATATAAATACAAAGTATGTTATAAATTTAATATCATGAGTTATTACAACTCCATCTCCATCCCTCAAATTTCTACAAAGACATTTGAAGTTTGCACCATACATACCAAATATTCAATTCACGGACTAATAAGTCACCATATACATCAATATACTAAACTCCTGAGCTTGCTTATGTTATACGGAGTACAATTCAAGTAACTCTTATTCATTTGCATACAACATACGAAGTGTATATATATATATATATATATATATATATATATATATATATATATATATATATATATATATATATATATATATATATATATATATATATATATATATATATATATATATATATATATATATATAGATTCTTTTTTTTTTTTTAACTATTATTTGATGTTGTAGCCAATATGGCTAATTAAGCAAATGTCTTGGATGGAAGAAATCCATGTTGAAGGGAAGCTTCCCATATCTTTTCAACGTCGAAAAGCTCATCACCGCATTCAATCACATTCCATCCTTCTAAAGCATGTACAATTCCTGCCACACGCCACACGCTAATCACACTTCTTGGCAGCCAATTCTGCTTATGTACACACCCAAAAACAAGCATTTAAGAGCTTCGATTGAGGAAATTATAATCGATTAGGGTGATTAAATAATGTATTGTAAGAAGTGGGAAAACAATGGACAAACCTCACAAGATTGCAAGTTTCCGAATGATTTAGGAGCCACCAATGATGGTGTGTTGAGATAGAAGCAGTCATTTCTTGTTTTCTTGGGAGGGAACTGAGAGAAAGGAACGAATATAGTTCCCTTCGATGCCATAGACTGCTCGTCTTTAGTTAAATCATCTCCGACTAACCATACCTGCATCGAAGAGAAAAAATATCATCTCCGAGACTACTAGAATACAATAATTTTAGGTACAATGGTTACAAGAATTTAGTAGCCACTATAATTTTTTAATCAGGTCGGGCCATAAGTTTTACTTCGTATATATTTATTGGTTCGTAGCTATTGCATATGTGTTCGGTAACATATTTGGAGGCTGCATGCTACCTTATGATTACACATTAGAAAATTAAAAGAGCAAAAGCATACCTTTTGATTAAAGCCATTTGTTATAAGAGCAAGATTGGAGCCATCTTCTTTTGTCAAAGACTTTTTAAGCTTCTCATACTCAACTTTTCTTATGGTAGTAACCGAAATATGATATAAAAGCATAGGTTAATATCATGTAACGTACTTAACTAATTGTACATATTTACTAAATAAATTCATCACATCAATGTGGATATTATTGGAGTTTTACTATAGTACTACATGCCATAAAAAGCACACATTTACTACCTGGATGCCCATGTGACATAGCGCCGAAACAATGGAATAAGCAACCTTCGACAGCCTACCCCTAAACATAACCTCGGAAGTTCCCACTGGAATGCTATTAAGCACCACCGCGACTGCTAAGCTACTACCATCTACCACTTTCACATTGAACTTAGGGTGCCTTTCCAAGTAAATTTCGCCGTTTCTATTGAAATCTTCCCCCTGAAAAGTTAGTGACCAGAAGATAAATGTTAGCTATATTTCATTGGTTTAATAACATAGCATAAAATAAAAGAATCATAACGTAACTTGCCTGAATAAAAAGTCCTAGGCTCACTACTTTGATTCCTTTCTCCGCTGCCTCTACTATGGCTTCTTCAATCAACTTGTTTATTGCCTCTCGCTTCGTTTGTAAGAGATACTACACCAAAATTTGCAAAAAATATGTAAGTTCCAATATTATAAATATGTCATATATACTCGATCATATATAGATATGTAATATGGCTCAGTGAAAGTTATGTAATATGGCTTAGTGAAAGTTACTTCATTCTTAAAGCGTGGTACAACCCATAATTGTGCCTTAAGCTTCTTAATGTGTTTCTTTCGACGATGAATGTCCTACCACAGGCCCAAGTTATGAACGCGGACCAACATGAGAGAGGCCAGATGAGCCACATGTACCATTTGGAGTTGAGGGGATTCGAGGCGAGGGAGGCAAACCCAAGCCGGAGATGGTAGACAGACTGCAGAGTTGTCAAATGCGTAAGGTGAGCCACATCCGAAACATCTTCCGGTTTTTTCAGAGAAGTTTCATATACTATATCTGTGGTATCATCCATTGTTCCATAGATGTAATCATAGAATGGCATGAAAAGAGAGTAATTTGTCCTGAAACGGGTGTGATGCATAGAGTGATACCTGTCAAAGCAAAAAATAGTAAACAGTAATTTGTCCTGAAACAGATTTGTTATATTCGACTTATTTGTCTGAACTTAATTGTACTTATTTAGTCTAAAAATAAGCTGAACAAAATAGCTAGAGCCTTATTAGTTTTGTGCATTTTAAAATAGAGAACGAACTGTATTGTACATGTAAGTTACTTACGAGGGAGTGTACATGAGATATTTGAGAGGAGGAATCATATCAAACACCCATTTCGGAATGACCTCAAAGTAGCAATGACCCATGCTGTTCATCAAGTCGATGTAAGTGACATACAAAGCCAAAGTAGCTATAGAGATAGTTCGCGTGAATGTTGTTACCAGCAATGGTAATGCAAGGATAACATGATATGCTATGAGTTCAGCAAATGGATGAACCACAGCTGCAACCAAAAAATATTGTCCTAGATTAAATAACATGAGGAGGACGATATGATGATTAACTTGTGTGATTGTGTAATGTTATTTTGATTCATATATTCCAAGATGTTTGATCATTATAATTGCCTTTGACTTACCAGTATGGGGTTGAGACACAATAGAAGAATGGTGATGAGAGTGGTAGCGAGAGTAAAGGAAGTGATGGTGTAGAACGCGATGCAACCAATAGTAGAGGAACTCGACAGGACCAATAATGTGAAGTATGAAAACTACAAGGAGACCATCCTTTGTATAAAATTTAAATCACTTTTTTTGACATGTGAATTCTACTGAACAAAACAAAGAACAATTAATCATAAATTGCATTCTCTAAAAAAACACATTTTCTGTCCAACCAAACAAAGCCTTACACGTTGACGATTTTCCTAGTTGATCGATTGCACAACCAACACAACTAGGAACATAAAACCCTTCTTAATTACTACTTACTACGATCAACCATAGAGAAATTAAATTACCCTAGCAAAGATCTTACTAGTAATTAAAATTCATCACAACTCGCAACATAGATACATATCAAACCTTGACAAGTTCGATCTGAATTGAAAGACAGGAAATGGACCTCCTGAGCTTGTTCATCTTAATTAAAATTCATATGCATAAAACACTAGTTGCATTTTATCACAACTAAACCAACTAAGCACTAAGCAGGGATCAAGCTGGAAGGGCGAAATCCATGTTGAAGGGAAGCTTCCCATATTTTGTCAACGTCGAAGACCCTATCACCACATTCATGTACATTCCATCCTTCTAGGGCATGTACAATTCCGGCCACACGCCACGCGCTAATCACCCTTCTTGGCAGCCAATTCTGCTTACACAAGTAAAAACATGGACTAATTTTGATTAAAATGGACTTCAATTAGTATGTCAAATTCAATTGGAGGAGATGTGAAAATAATGTACAAACCTCACAAGAATGCAAGTTTCCAAAAGATTTAGGAGCAACTAATGATGGTGTGTTGAGATAGAAGCAGTCTTTCCTTGTTTTCTTGGGAGGGAATTGAGAGAAAGGGATTATTATAGTTCCCTTCGACGCCTTAGACTGCTCGATTTCTGTCAAATCTTCTCCTACTAACCATACCTGCATTCACCAAAAAAATTACTCCCTTCATCTCTTAATAAGAAAAACAGAATTCAACCCCTTTAGCCCATTACAAGAGCTTTAAACCATATCAATTGGCTAGCTAATTTATCTTTAGAAGTTGTTGTTTTTCGCTATATTATGAAAAAATCAATCTAATATGTTACTGATTACTAAATAAGCTTTAAAAAAAACTACCTTCTGATTGTAGCCTTTTGTTGAAAGGGCCAGATTATTGCCATCTTCAGTATTCAGAGCCTTTTTAAGTTTTTCAAATTCAGCCTTTTTGATGGTAGTAACCTGAGTATGAAATGAAAAGCATATGTTATACAGTAATATGATACATTTTCACTGGAATTTATCATGTAAGATCAGTGTAGTTACCTGGATGCCCTTGTGACAAAGCGCGGAGACAACTGAATAAGCAACCTTTGAGAGACGACCTCTAAACAGAACCTGAGAAGTTCCCACTGGGATACTATTAAGCACTACCGTGACTGCTAAGCTACTACCATCTACCACTTTCACTTTGAGCTTAGGGTGCCTTTCCAAGTAGATTTCGCCGTTTCTATTGAAATGCTCCCCCTGAAATAACAGTGATCAGAAGATAAGTATTTATTAGCTATATATGCACTGTTTAACATAACAGAAGATAAAAGAATCATATGTTAACTTGCCTGATTCAAAAGTCCTAAGCTCACTACTTTGATCCCTTTCTCCTCTGCCTCGAGTATGGCTTCTTCGATCAACTTGTTGATAGCCTCCCGCTGCCATTGTAAACGATACTACAGCCCAACAAATACAACCAATTTCAACCTTTTTCATCTTTGACAAAAATGAATTTTTTTTTTTGACAAGAACTTAATTTCTATGAATACATAAAACTACTTACATGTATCCTGTATCGAGGTACAGCCCATGATTGTGCCTTGATCTTCTTAAAGGTATTTCTTTCGATGATGAATGTACGACCATATATCCATGCCGATATCATGGAGCATAATGTAACAGGCCACATGAGCCACAGATACCATTTGGATGTCAGGGGGTTCGAGGCAAGACCAGCAAATCCTAGCCTAAGGTGGTAGACTGATTCTGGTGTTGTCAGATGAGTAAGATGAACAGCTTCTGGCACATCCTCTGGCTTCTTAAGAGAAGTTTCGTACAGAGTATCCGTCGACTTGTCCATAGTTCCATAAATGTAGTCATAGAATGGCATGAAGAGTGAGTAGTTTGTCCTAAATTGAGTGTGATGCAGAGAATGAAACCTGTCCCCACACAAAAAGGCTATGATCAAACTGATTCTAGTATGAGGCTGTTGATAGAAGTAAAATGACACTTAAATAATTGTCAATTTGTCACGTTAATAGTGCAATTTAAATTTTAAACTAGTAATGTAATAGCTTAATTAGGAATGTGACAACTAGAATGAAAAATGTCTAAGGCGTACTGAATTCGTATTATTATTAGTATTAGAGTTGAGAAAGACTTACGAAGGAGTGTACATGAGATATTTGAGTGGAGGAAATATGTTTATTATTAGTATTACTAGATTAATTCCCGTGCGATGCACGAATATAATAAAAGAATTTATAATTATCGATGTACGGATATAATAAAAGAATTTATAATTGTGTAAACTTTAAAGACATATCAGTCAAAATATATAAAATCTTTGTACGTATTACATATGATATTATTAACATAAACTAACCAAACTACAAAATTAAAATAATATAAACAAAAGAAAATTCACGTCTATAATTAAATTTAGAGAACTTTGTAATTAGATGGAGTAATCACATATATAAAAGGTTGATATTTGTTTTCTTTAAGATTTTTTTAAAAAAAAAAAGTAATGAAAACTAAAAAGTTTAATGTACTGTATTAAACTACTTTAGAATTAGTATTTAGATTTTTTAAAAATAATATGAAAGGGGAAAAAAAGTTTAGGCGGGAAAAGAATGAAGGAGAAGCTGACACGTAGTGTACAATTTGAAAAAAGTGATGATGTTAGCGGTTGTTATTTTAGTAATAGTTTAATCCCGTTCGATGCACGGTTTTAACATAAAAAATGAATTATAGCTTTTTAGCATATATTGAAATAAAACAACTACTTCCTCCGTTTTCCTAATTACTTAATAATTAAATATGAAAACAAAATTTCCAAATCCATCATTTTCATATTTAATTAGGAAAAATCAATCAAAATATATCTATAACTATTGCTAAAATAGCAACCACTGACATCATCCCTTCTCCTAACTGTACACATGTCAAGTTGCGGTAGAAAATTTTTCCGACTAAAATATATATGTGATGTCATCACTTTATTTTATATTTTTTTAGTTAAAATTTTTGGTCATCTATTTCAATGTTTGAAAATTTAGTTGATTAAGTAATATCCAAATTTAGTCTAATAACTTTGTAAGTGTGACAATATAACAAATTTAGTTGTCGAAATTGTGCATCGCACGAGATTAATCTAGTTATTAACTGCTTTTAACAACTACTCGCAAAAATTATAATATGCATAGAAAACCCACTATTTAAAACCCTGTTAAAAAAGGAAAAATCAAATAAATTCCCACAAAATTAAGCAATCAACAAACAATCAAATTACATTAAAACACTTTTGTAAAAAAATACATAAGAACACAATCAAATTACCATATCACACTCAATCGACGATCGTATAGTGAAATAAAAAAAGTTGTGTAACATTTTTAAAATAGTATAAGAAGAAGAAAAAATATCTAGAAAAGAAGAAGAAATCATCTTTCAATAAATAAATTAAAAAAGACGAAATCGATAAAAAAAATGGAGAAATATAATCAAATCAAATTTTAACACACTTGATTAAAGGGGAAAAACCAAACAAATTTCACACACAAAACCCAAATAATTGAAAACCATTGTTACATTTAATTCTAAAATGACATCACAATAAACAATCTAAGAATAATTATAAAGAAGATAAAGAAAGAAGAAGATATACCAGTGCAAGAGAAATATTAAACAATTAAAACTTAAATTATAAAATCATAATCAAAATACAGTACGTTAAAGGAAAATGAAAAAACAAAATTATGGCTAAGAATTGAGAAATTGAGTAGATTTGAAATACAGAGTAAAATCCTGTAAAAAAAATAAAAAAGAAAAAAAATACAGAGTAAAAATTAAAGAGATGGGAGTAGGAGGTCATTTGTTAATGTAACAGTCAAAATTGTTTCAATTTCCTAGGATAAGATGATAAGGTGTATTCGTACTATAGAAGCTTGGAATATAATTTTCAAAGCCATGTTAAATAGAGTAGATCAAAAAAGGGGAAAAAAATATTACATTATCTTTGCATTTAGGCAGGAAAAAATTTGATAAAAAAGTGACACGGAGACAATGATGAACATCAGCGGTTGTTCCTTTAGTATTATTTATAGATTATAGATTTATAGATTAGTATTAGAGTTGAGAAAGACTTACGAAGGAGTGTACATGAGATACTTGAGTGGAGGAAATATGGTGAACGCCCATTTAGGAATGACCTCGAAATTGCAGTGACCCATGTTGTTCATCAAGTCAATGTAGGAGATATAGATGGACACGGAAACTATAGAGCCCGTTCGAGTAATTAGAGCAGTTGTTACCATTGGTATGGCAAAGAGAATGAAGTATACAATGTGCTCACCAAATGGATGAATCACCGCTACACACAACAATTATCAATGAACACAAAATTTGAGAAAAATCACAAATATGTACATACTAATATAAGAATGTGGTACATGTAGTGATGACTTACAAGTAATTGGCTCGGTCACAATCGAAGAATGGTGATGAGAGTGGTAACGCGAGTAGAGGTAGTGATGATGCAAAGCGCGATGGAACCAGTAGTAGAGAAACTCCACAGGACCACTGTGAATTAGGAATGTCAAGAGCAAACCATCAGCTCTCCAGAAGGGGATCTTAGCTACGATGTCTACCCCCCAATAGACAGCATAGAATAAGATACCCATTAACATTATCTGATCATCCCTACATAATTCAAACATAGAATATCCACGTTATTTTAAAACCATCACGAACAAGCCCTTACATATTCTACAAGCAAGGCGTTTTGAAGAAATTAAAATACTAGTATGTGTATATATGTTGCATACTAACTAATAATTAGACACGATCACACGACACAACTAATTGACAAAAGTTGGAAAAAAAAAAATGATCAAGAAACAAGGGTTAGGATGTATATATACCAATTTCTTTCCCTATCAACTTGCTCAAAATCGATACTTTTATCAACAATGAGATTGTTGCCTTTGGCGGTTCGATACCGAGAAAAACTGATCCATAGTTGGTTGTGAAGCATCCTCCATAGCATAAATGGGAATATCAATAGATAGGTAAGATTCCAGTCCTCAGCTCCAACAGCAAACAAGTATAAGCTGTGGACTGCAAAAGGTGCTACTAAAATATACTGCACCCAAACAACATAAAAAAAAATGCACAAATTAGTTATTAATTAACTTAGTGTAACATACAACATAAAACTGAAATAATATCACATTAATATTTATACTGTATTAGGCCCGGTTCATTTCACCTTATTTTTGCTGAATTGAAATTATTTTTACTAAACTGAAATTATTTCAACTAAAACTAAACTGAGAGTATTTTTGCTGAATATTATCATTTTAAAGTGAAGTAAACAGGGTCTTAATGTGTGAACATCAATATAATGTGTCATTAGGAAAGTGATAAAACAAATTACATCAATATTTTACATGTCTCACGGGAAGTTTTTGCGAATTTTCTTTCATTTAATTTCTACATATGTATTACTATACGTAGTTAACATGTTACTCAGATAAAGAAACAACTAACGCATTTACTCAACACATGATATGCAACATAAGCAGTCAAAATATCGAGTGGGTTTGCCTTTAACGCAATCCATATGTTTTTAAAAAAATGGAAATTTCGGTGTTTAAAAATTAGTAGCAACTGTATTCACCAAAATAGTATAATAATAACTTGACATATATATGATCCATTATTACTAGTTTACCTAGTTGAATTGGTTGTGAAGAAATCAATTATGCCAGTACTAGACTACTCATCACTAGATCTGATTTCTTTTATTTTTAGTACAGAGTATAATTGTGTATTTATAGAAAGTACGAGTCAGTTTTAACATCTTTAATGAGAATTATTACATCCAAATTTGGTCCTGCAGCATATGCAGATTGCAGATAACCTAAGTAGACTATGCCAACCTTTCCATTTTAGAGCTCGTAATTAATTACGCTTGTTATTCATGTTACATTGGTCATACATGTACATGCACATGCACTGTAAGTCTGTAATTGTTCGTTGGCTCTGAAAATATTTAAAGGCCAATATTTACTTCTACGAAAAAATTACCTAAAACCATTGTATAGTACAAGCATATGATACAACGCCCTCCCTTTCAACCAATTAAACTGCAAATTGATTTTTATTTTTTAAAATTAATTCCAAAAAATAAACCGGCCCCTATTATTTTGTCCTCTTGAATAATTGATAATTATATGTTCATTTCATGTGATATGGGTAACTAAGAAAAAGCTTAATATAGAACAAAATTAACGTCCATTTCATATTTGTACATCCATGTTACATCTCCATTATTATTTCCTTCACATATTACTCCATATAATATGGAGTGACTTAATTATGTAAGCAACTAAGCAAGGATTACAGCTTTTAAATATCGAAGTACAAATGCATAAAATTAATTTGTAATGATCATCGATAAATTCATTTCACGCTTCTTGAAGGTGACGGTTTTGGAGTTTCTCAAAGCCTTGGGTAGAGCTTTAATTTCTTACCCTAAAGGGAAAGGTTTGTGTACAAGATTTTCTCAATCTCATGCGAGAAGTTTTAAGCTTCCTTTAACCAAAAAAATAATAGCAATTTTTCATATCTAAGAGATACGAGTAAAAATTTATATGGAAAAAATGAATTGAAATTTGTATAAAGTTTTAAATCAAGTTAAAATTGTGAGAGAGAAGAAATCCCAACTAAATCCAAGAGTTAGTTAATTTTAGCTTTAATTTGATATACAACATAACAAGTACTACTTATGCTTTATCTAAAACAAGTAGTAAGTTTCAAACATATCAGTTTTTTGAAAAGAAAATAATAATGGCTTACGATGAACACATTCCAACGAAAAATGGTCTATTTGTTTTTTCTTATTAATTAAGACATAAAATCTTAAAATCCACATAATAAGAGAGAGCCGTTATTATTTGATCTACTTCAATTCACGGCTTCACCACCTTAGATACAGCAAACAACGTGGTAAATTACTCAACAATCTTTTACAAAAAGTATTATCCAAAGGACGTAATGATACTCATGCAATACAAAAGTACTATCAAACTATTAAGGCTCAATCAGGTGACTATCTAGCACTAACCCTAATCCTTAGCATGAGGAGGTTTAAAGTTGATCGAACTATTGGATGAGAAAGGGTCGAGGTATATCTTAGTTAGGTGCCCTAGCTAAAGGAGAACGCGTACTTTCTATTAACAAACATGCTTACTATATACACATGAACTTTTTCTTGGTAAAAGTTGAACTAGATTAAATACTTAAACCGTGAGAAACATATAGTTTAACCTTTAAAGGTCGTAGCCCAAATACAAAGTGAACCACCATGGCTAATGTGGTCTCAAAAGTGGTGGCCTAGCACCCATATATACATGAACTACATACCATAACAACGCGCTTATATAACCTTACAAAGCTAAACATGGCATCATATCATAGATCGAAAAATGACGAAAGAGGAGCTAAGAGAGAAGGATAGAAGAACCTTAAAGTTTCCAAGAGGCTCCCATGGCCAATGTGTTAGAATACCAGGAGTAGACGCCATTCCTTTCGCTTAGCAACGCAAACAATTATTTTGTAACAAAATAGCACAACAAACCCTTCCTCAAATACCACAAATTGCGTCTATATTTATGCACAGTTAGACTACATATATATACATATAAACAAAACTTATTAAACTATATGTGCAATCATACACAATATATGTTTAAAACGTACTCAACTGTTAGAATTTCGACGTGTCGGTTCTTCATTGGGTAGTGGTACACGGATCCACTTACCCGTCATGTTCAGCACATTCAATGGGCAACACCAAATATGTGCGTGATTTTGATGAACTAGGCTAAGAATTGCAACCTGCTAAGGTGGGGTTTTTTACCTAAATTCAGATAAACAAATTCTTTTCTCAGGCCAATTAATTCTTCTCAACAACCCATGTACTTGTGACTAGACTCATACACCCTCTTAATAGTTGTACAATTTGATATTTGATGGAGTGTGGAATTTGGAAGCGCAGCAATGATATTACTAGGACATGTTATGAAGTATTATTTGATGATGACCCGAACCTAAACTTACCGACTAATTATAATTCGAATGTCGTGAAAGGTAAGCCCACACGTACATGTGCGGATAGTTATTTCCAAAATGCATTTTAGCAAAATAAAATTCATTAACCTAGTTGCTAAACATTAAATATAAAGTGTACACAATTTGAAAACTCGATCATACTTTTATGATGATGATATGTAAGTAATGGTATTTTATTATATTCTACTCCCACCGTCCAAAATTGGTGTTAGAGGCCCCTATAATCAAGAATTCAACATTATTATTTAACTATAAAAAACACTAGGAGGTATATATGTTTAATAATAAAGTGAGTATGTAGTAATAGAAGTTAAAATAATTGAACCCCCAAACATAATTAAAGGGATTTTTTTTTTTTTTGACAAGAATTAAAGGGATTTTAATTTAGAAGTTTAAATTAAAAAGAATATCTTAAGAACTAGAAATATAAATGTTTAACTGATTTCAAGTGATTAATTAGTTGTGCCATGTAAAATAATTAATTAAACAATAGTTCTGGAATGTTTTTTATTACAAAAATTCCAAAATGAACATAAGTAAATGGTCCCACTCCAAAAACTCATCTATATATAGTGATATTATGCATCCCAATGGCACCATCTTTATGTGTAGTTATAATGTGACAAACATCAGCAACAGAAAAAGGTAGTTCAGCCATTAAATTATAAATCTTAAATGGTCCTATTAATTAGGGTTTGTATTCTTGCATGAAAAAAGGGGAATAAAATTATTGCTAGAATGTAAGATATTTTATCTATTCCGTATGTAATGAATTTGAACTTGGCTTTGCAATGGCATTGTGTTGATGAGTTATTAAGAGCACATACGTAGTATGTACGGAGGTATCATGGAATTTAACAAGGATATACAGTATAAATGATTAAAATTAAGAGTATGTTCGGCAAAATATAGCTGTAAAGGTAGCCGTTAGCTATGAAGATAGTTGTTAGCTATGTAGGTAATTGTTAGTTGTCACAAGCTGTTAGCTGTGAAGATAGATAATTTAGGTATGAGTGTTTGGTAAAGTAACGGTTAACTAATTGTTACATATAAAATTCATTTTTTCTTAAAAAAAAAACTATAGATTACATTTTTAACAGCTACCTCTAACTTCAAAAGCCAATATTTCTAACTTTTCATAAAAGCTACCTCCACCACTAAAAGTTACCCTAACCACTACTTTGCTAAACACTTACATTTTTTGTTAAGTAGGTCAAACCACTAAAAGCTGGCGCCAAACACGCCCTAAATGAGCTAGTCATTTGATGGGTTAATAAGTATTTGTGATTTTTATTTAATGTCTCTATTGTCTACTTTTTACCATCTTAATATTAATTTTTTTTAGAAAAAAGTTGTATGGATTTTTTCATCACCATTGTTTTTTTATTTTTTTTTTTTATTTTTTTTTTAGGAAACCATTGGTTATTTATGTATATAGTAGTATATATATTTTCTTTTCTTTTTTTTTTAATGTATCTTTTAAAAAAAAAAAACCAGTTTTTTCATCAAATACCACTAAGTTTTAACATAATTCACCAAATACCACCAACATTTTTCAAATTCACCATATAACATTCAGTTTTATGAAAATGTCACAACATGCCCTTTTCATTAACTTAGTTAGTCATTAACGTTAATTGTGCCACGTGACAGCTTGTAATTGGTTCTTATTAATATTATTCATTTAATTAATTAACTTTAGAAAAATTATTAAAAAAATAAAAAAAAAATAAAAAATAAAACACCACCAACTGAACCACTGTAGCCCCAAGCCCAGCCCCGACCCCCACCCCAGCTGACCGCCTGGTCCACTTCCCAGCTAGCGGCGACCATCCCCTTCCTTCACCGACGACGATCTCGACTTCAGCCACACCTCTCCCTTTCGAAATCCCAACCACCACCTTAGCAATTCCCTTCTCCCTCCCAATTTCCCCAGCCACCACCTTAGCCCAATTCCCGAGCCACCACCATAGCAGAATTCTCCAGCCACCTTCGCCGTCAGTCCAAACCCTCTCCCACACGTCACCGCCGCCCAACTTGCCAAAAACCACCACCCGAAAACATAAAACACCAAAATCGAAACCCTAGATTTTGGTTTTAGGGTTTTGGCGTACGTGGTGGTTCGGTGAGGTGGAGACTGCACCGGGAGAGACGAATTAAGTTCTCCGACGCGGGGAAGGGGGATTTGGGTGCCAGCCGGCGGTTAGATAGTGTTTTTCGAGGGAGATAAGGGGTTTTTAAGGTGCGAACACGGTGGTTCAAGGGAAGTGGAGCAGCACTAGCGAGGGAATCTAGTTGAATTATGGTGGCGCGAGGGGTATTGGCCGAATTTCGGATCGGTGTGGGGTTCTGGTTGGATTCCGAGCCGGCAGGTGGTGGGTGGCTGGGAGGACATGGGTGGCTGGTTGGTTTTTTTTTTAATTTTTTATAGTTAATTGAATAATTATTCTATAATGAAATAATTTAAAGGGGAACCAATTATATGTTGTCACGTGACATTATTAGCCTTAATGACTAACGGTGTTAACGTCCTTAGTCATTAATGGCATGTTGAGACATTTTCATAAAACTGAAGAGTATATGGTGAATTTGAAAAATGTTGGTAATTTTTAGTGAATTATGTTAAAACTCAGTGGTATTTGGTGAAAAAACCGTTAAAAAAAAACAACTAAATTAAAAAACTATAATGCTTGTCATAAACCCCATAAAATAATCTCCATCATATAAGATTAAGAGGGGGGGGGACTGGAAAATGATGTGGGAATGTTTGAATTGTCACCCATGTAAGCTAAGGAAGAAGAAGAGGTCGTCTTCTTTATTACTCGATATATATTGATTTGGATTAAAAGATTAACCGCCTACATAAGTACATTGTAAGTTTTTATATTCTTCACACTGTAATAATAATATCTAATGGTTGGCTAATGTAAATAGAGACTACAAATCAATTTTGTATCCATATATATAATAATGTGGAAGTTAATGTACCTACTTTTTCATGGCAATTCTCCAAATCAAAACACTAATTCTCAAATAAATGACCTTTTATGTTGGCGCATTTATGATTATTATTTTTTTTTAATTAATAATAATGACCAAGATCCTTACCCATATTTTAGTCATTAACTGGCCAACAAAAATTAGAGGTGTCAAAACCACACCCGATTCGACCCGACTCGATCCGAAAGCGACCCGGAAAATATCTGATAATTCAGATTTGAACTCACGTGGACATAATAATTTACCATGACTTAACTTTAAAAATTGACCCGACCCGACCTCATCAGGCCCAATACGATCATCTGAATTGATACCTCTAGCCAAAACCATCACATGAGTGTCATGTGACTTCGAATTAATTCCCCCCCCCCCCCTTTCTTTCCTAGCCAACACGTCCACCACATTTAGCCATGTCCTACCACCATCCGACGATCATTCCACCACCGAAACCTAGCTGCCCTTTTCACCACCAAACCGCCACCATTTAACCATTGCATAAGTCGCGACCACACCACCACCCACACCAACATCTTATCTCTATGCTCACATGCAGCCCCTCTTTTCAATCTTCGGCCTCTTCCCAAAAATTAACCACCAACCATTAACCCTTGTGCATTGCCTCTTTGTTGATCTTACTTTATCAATAACAATATAATACTAAAACATACATCAGGAATGACATATGTCATTTTCTGGTGTTGTTTTTTCCCTCCAAAATCCTCTCCCCCCCCCCCCTTATTTTTTGTTTTTCAGTCAATGCCATTACTTACTTAGTATAAGTTATACACAAAATATTCACCAAATCATATAATATAATTATGATTATTTTGATTCATATACTTGCTTTCCATTTCTGTAATTAATATTTTCCATTCTAGCTATGTAAGTTTAGACTACTATCTAATGTAAATTCAAATAAATACAGAGTTTCCAAATTTTTAATATACAAACCTAAATTAAAATTAAATTGACTTAGATAAAAAAATATACATCTAAAAGTTAAAAAAAAAATATTTTCCAAGCAAAATTTATGCTAAATTTATAATAATAATAATAATAATAATAATAATAATAATTAAAGATTTTGGTGAATACGACGGGTAAAACATATACTTCGTATTAGATTGTAGCTACTGAAGCGGAAGGTATGACAAGAAAATTTTAATTTTTTTTTCTACGAGAGATAGAAAATGAATGAATATACTTCTCTTAGATAATTATGTGGAGCAATATTCATTTATTTTTCAATTAATAAAATGAAATTATAAAAAAATACTAATAACTTTAAATACTATCCAAATTACATTTCTTTATTTTTGTATCGACCACTAGTAAATGAGCCCTTTATTACTAATTGAATTATTTTTGTTTTTTTTTTTCCTACGGGATTAATAATTAATAATTTGATTTATAAATCGTATATCATATGGGCACTATACTAGTTTACTATCTAGGTTGATCTTTCTTTCGCGATTGTTCTACTCATTTCTCTTTACTGGACCCAGTGTAGCCTCACATGGCCACACCCCCCTTCTCATTCTTCTTTGATTCTACCTTCTAACTCATCGCCCATACAAGGAAATTGGAGTTAATTTAAACTTGGTCTTAAAAATCATTATGATGCATGCATAAAGTTAGGATGGTGGTGAAATGGTAGTTATTAGGAAGAAGAAAGGGTGAAAATCGAGCCTTTTAATAATGATGGTACTCATACGTGCTTTGCACATGATAGTCAAATTAAAGCTGAGAGCAGTGATTAATGATCGAAATCTAGATTGCTAGATATCAATCAACAAAGAAAATTACTTTGTCTCAAAGTAACACCTTTTTTAAAAGAGATGACCAACATAAAAGGTCTTGTCTAATAAATTTTCTTAACTTTTAGTAACTCCTGTTAGGGCCGTCTTAAACTTTTTGGGGGCATTGTGCTATATAAAAAAATGAAGTTTTGATTGTTAAATCTTTATCCACTTAAAATTTAAAATAATACGGATAAATAGGTGAAAATTATCAAAGGCTATAAACAACAAAAAAAATTAAAAAAACATTTATCAAAACACCAAATTAAAAAAAATAAATCGAAAAATTATCAAAGAGATTAAAATTATCAAAGAGCATTAACAAAATAAAACATTTATCAAAACACCAAATTAAAAAAATAAAATAATAATAATCGAAAAATTAGGGTATAAACGGAAAAAAATAATAGTCAAAAAAAAACTAAGCTAAAAAGTGAAGAGGAAAGGATTCAAACAATAACTTGGTGGAAGGGAGACACCTAACAAATTAAATGCACTACCAATTAAGCCAATTTGTTGTTACAATTTAACCTCTTTAAGAAATACAGTATATATACACTATCTGAAATTTCAGATTTGGGGCCCCAAATAAAATGAGGCCCTATGCTGTTGGCAGGCCCGTTTCTGTGGTTTTGGTGACTTGGGGCAAAAACATAAATTGGGGCCCTAATTCACATATAGAATATAATATTAAAAAAAATTAGGTATGTAAAAAGAAAAACACATATTTTATTATGACTTATTTTTTGATAGGATATTTATTATGATTAATAATCTTTAAAAACATCAAATTTTACAAAAAAAAATAATCACATTCCTATAACTCTCGTTGAAGCAATTAGATAAATCCCGTTGAAAATTGAAGAGTAAAAGAATCGTTTATCATAATTTTCATCTTAATTGAATCGTAAAAGAGATAATTAATCTAACTGAAAATAGAAAAGAGATAAATTTTGAAAAATAAAATTACCGAAAGAAGTGGATATAATATTATAATGGAATTACTTGTCAAAAGAAAAAAAATTACTGTATTATAATTGAATTAATGACGGTTTATTTTTATTTTTATTTTTATTGAGGGGTTAATAAAATTCACTTAGGAAAGTGAATAATTTTGGGCCCAAAGTTAGGGAGGAAGCACGTTGACCGATAATACAGTTTGACATTATAGAATTAGCCAATTAGATAGTACTCGTACTATTATAATGTTGTAGAGTACACACTTTTTTTTTTCTTTTTTAATATACATATATATTTTGGGGCCTTGTATTATATTGAATATGGGCTTTTTAATCAGGGGCCCAGGGAAGCCGCCCCATCTGCCCTGCCCTTGTTTGCACAGCCTAATAGCCCGCCCTAACTCCTGTCATCATTTTACTTCACAAGTTTGATATATTCCGTACATTAGCACAAATACATTATAGCACATACGAAGTAATCTTTAATCACTATCGATAACTACTTACCAAACGAGCCTACATAGAAATATAGAATGCGACCTAGGTTTTTTCATAACGCTCATTGCTCAATCTTCTTCAATTTCTCATTGCAAAAAAAAAAAAAAAAAAAAAAAAAAAAAAACTGGAAAACCGAAAATTCAAAACATAAAAAAACACCCAGCATCCCGCGCAAACCATCATCTCTCTCCTCAGTAACTAAACTGGTATTCACTGTTCTGACCGCCATAGCCGACATTAGAGAGAGAAACATAGATTTTTAGAGAGAGAAACATAGAAGCATGCCACCAAGGAAGAAATCAAACGCTTCATCTTCTTCAGCATCCAAAAAAACCACTCAAAACACCAACTCTCAGCCTGCTAAGTATGGTATACAACACTTCTTTGGCCGTCTTTCTCAAAACCCTAGTAAGAGTAAATCTACTGAATCCCCTCAAAACCCCAAACCCAGTTCAAATTCCCAGATTTCGGAACCACCCAATGGATCGAAAATTGGAAATGGGTCGAATTCGGGTTCAATTGGGGGAGTTAAAAATGGGGTTGTACCGAAAATTAAGGTTCAGAAGGATGTAAAGGAAGTGGGTTTAGCTGCTTCTGATCAAAACCCGAAAAATGGGTCGGAATTGAAAAGGGATGGAAGTGAAGTTTCTGAGAAAATTAGGGTTTCTAAGAATTTGGGTTTATCTTCTGTTGATGATCAAAACCCTAAAAATGGGTTGAAATTGGGATCTGATAATACTCCGCCTGAAAATTTGTTGGTGGATTTGACTAATTCGGATGATGCTTTCGAGGTTTCGCCGGAAGTTGCAAAGTCCATGCCCAGAAAACGTTTCAAGTTTTCTCCTGGAATGGTAATTGTTTATTTTTTAGTAATTGCAGCATACTAATGTGAGGTTACTTTATAATTTGATGTCTGATAATTGTAATGTTGTTGTATATTATCTAGCTTTTGTTTGTCAAAATGCCCTTAGACATGCTGGTTTTCCTCCCCTACTTAATTTGCTTTAATGCTTTGCAACTTGAAGCAAAGAATCGTGATCAAGTCGAAATGATTTTCGTGAGCCGATTGCCAAAATTTCCTCTTTGTGGGTTCTTAATGTTTAAACAATATGCATTATAGTCCTTTTTTTTTTTAAGTATTACTGCCATTCTAAATTATACTTCGTTTATGTGCATTTAACTAATTTGTGTTATTATATGTTACCTTTATCATCAGTTTTGATTACCAAATTACCAATGTTATAGTGTTATACTAATCAATCCTTAGTATGTCCGTGTAACCTTTGAAAATATGTAACTTTGGAACAGAAGGTGTAATTTTTTCTGTTGTTATTGAGAGTCATGTGAATAGTTGTAGATTCCAGACTGCAATTGATATGTGGTGGTGTATTGATGATGTAGTTAATAAAGCAAAGTCAGGATGATAGGGAGGAGGTAACATGGAAGATTTCCCCTGTGAATGAGCGCCTTCAAGCCATTTCTAAGCTTGCTCCTGATGTGGTGAAAGCTTTAGCTGAGGCTTCAAGGCTCAATTCTTGCTCCTTCCAGCAGTTGTCCGATAATGATGTAAGAATATTGATTTTAATAGTTAGTACCCTCTCATCAGTTTTTTAAACATTAGTCAATGCATTTTAAGTTGGAAATTTCAGAATCAGCACTGTAAGGAGGGAAAGGTTTATGAAGAACATGTCATGCCTAGAACTGAGACACTTGGAAAATCAACCTCTGTATCAAATGGTACTGTGTGTAACAGGGCAAGTAATGGTCATGCTACAAACATGAATGGCCAACATGGCAATGCGGCAGAATTGAATAATTCAGATGCTATTTGTTCTCAGAGTCCTTTTAGAACTCCACCTTCCTTATCATATCGACATGATAAGGTAACAAGCTTTCCGTGGCATTTACATTTACCCTGAATGTTTTTCACGAGACTATCTTTATGATGGTTCATATTTCTAGCGCAGCCAACTGAAAATGCTGCAAATAAAGACAGTCTAAGAGAATGGGCAGGACTACGGCATCACAAAAAGGTAATTTTCTTGAAGTATATCTATGGTGCCTAAAATTATGGTTCTTTTTTTGATCTTATGTGGAAATGCATGTGGTCTTGGAGAAATCTACATAATCTACATACATGGCTTTTTTCAGGCCCTGCTTGAACTTCTAGATCAAGTAGAGAATGCAATTTCAGTCGAAGGGTCAGTTTTGGTTGAACATCAAATACATGTTTCTGGTGTTTGCAATAAAATTAGTGACGAGAGACCTGCAGAGGATAATTTTACTGTGAATAAAGTGGCAATAAAGCCACAAGAGGAGGCTAATTTGCAACCTTCTGATCCATATTTTCTTGTTTTAGAGGTATGTGTCTAACATCAAGTGCTCTATTAAGTATTAAGGGAACTGCATTTCTTCACCCTTCCCCTATCTTTGTTGTTTCCATTAAAGCCATTGTTTGAGAATTTAGTTGGTCTTTTGCATTTTTTGTGTTTGGTAGGTCAATGAGAAATGTGCTACTACGTCAGAAGGAGCTCAGTGTTCACTGAAGGTATTTTCATGATAATATGCTTATGTTTTCTACTAAATATCAAACGGTAATACAGCACAATCAATGTCCTTTCTTTAGGTTCTTCGTGTGCTTAATGAGCGAAGTGGGGAGGAACAATGTGTAAATTTGTGGGATGACTGGTAAGCAAATAATTTTCGCCTTTGGGTTACAACTGTGTAGACATTTAGTCGCTTGCCTTATTTGTTATCATGTTTGTATCTGTGTGATGCCTGATGAGTTGATACTTGCCAGTTGCCATTAAGTTGCATGTAATTTGAATTTGATTCCGCCTTTCTTTGTAGCTTATTATTATTACGTATGTTAGTGCCAGCTGATATTCTTACTTCTGTTCTGAATTTTTATCGATCAATTTATTTATCTCTGCTATAAGTTGACATTTGTAGCTGACAAAGGCTGACTTATATATGTCCATCTGAAGATACAAAGCCGTGTATCAGTTGCTGATATTGTGTGATTGTTTGTGACTTGAATTTCCTTTTGTCTCCAACGTACTGATCACCCTATAATTGATATCCTTTGCACTTATCCAAGTCAGCACAGAGCTACTGTATGTGGCCATTAGCTATTCGACGATGATATATACGTAGTAGTTAACATAGTTGAATTCTTAATCCTATAAGATGGAAAGAAATGCAAGTGTTATGCCTAAAATAGTTAAATGTTATTTTTGTTGTTATTTATGCAGGTTCTACAGTGTGATTGAGCCTGGAGACTCCATAAGAGTTATTGGAGAATTTGATAACCAGGGGAATTGCAACATAAATCATGACAAAAATCTTCTCGTAATTCAACCAAATCTACTACTTTCAGGAACTCGGGTAAATTTCTTCTTTTTATTTCAAAGTATTCAAACCCATGTGTTATTTTGGGCCAAACTTCTCTTTGGTTTGAATAGTAGTCTCAAGCTTTATATTTATTCAATATTTTCTTAGAAAAGGATTTTATATTAGCTGTTAAACTGACTTTCCTTTAGGTTGCGGGTAGTTTCAGCTGTCCTAGGCGAGCAGTTTTGGATGAGAGGTTAAAATGTGGTGAATCTTCAACTGCAGCATTAACTGGCACCTTGCTGCATCAAATCTTTCAGGTCTTGCTCCCAGTATCAGTTTCTGTGTTTAGGCTTTCTATACTAAGCAAAGTTTAGTAGTAGATTCTGTAAGCACTTGTGATTTTAAGGAAACTCTGTAATTTTTAGGCTGGGCTTCTGATGGAGAGTCCCACAATAGAATCGCTTCAGGAATTTGCAAAGATTGTTCTTCAAAAACATATCGAAGGCTTGTATGCATGTGGAGGTGAGATCTTTAAAATTTTGAGGTCTCTCCCTACTCTTTTTTCAAAGCGTTGACAATATTTTTCTTCATTTTGAACATCTTGAAGAGTAAATCTCATAGCTTTTGCTTATATTTAATAATACAATCTATTGGGTGGACTTGCAGTACATGAAAAAGATATGCGCGAAACCTTAAATGATGCAATTCCAAGGATATGCAATTGGATAGGACTCTTTCGGGATTCACAGGTTGAGCATTCCCTTATCACTAAGAATGTTGAATTGTTAGCTCTTTAACTCTTGGGGAAGTTCTTAATCTGTACTCTGTAGTCAAAAATCCTTTTTCGTAATGCTATCTCAAAATGCATCAGCTGCTTTTGGCATATATAGGGTTCTCCATGTGAAATGAGCTCGTGCTGAAACAAAATTTCTGGAGTTGTTTCCATCTTGTCACTGTGCTCAGACCTTGTATGGTCCATGTTTATTTGAATATTTGTTTTGGTGTTTGGCAGAAAATCCCTGATCTAGTTTTTAAATTGTTGCAGATATCCAGTGCACCTGCAGTTGATTTTGGACCCAATGATGGACCGATAAGGATGAGCATATGTGATGTAAGACATTTTTGTTGAATGCTCTCACTTGTGTTTCATCAGTTTTCTACTTTACATCTTTTCTGCAACCTGCGTAGTTATGAAACCTGGGTAAATTTTATAAGCTGTCGTCAGTAGAATATGTTGTCACAATTGCTGGATCAGTTTGTGGCAGGTGTTTATTTTTCTTTACAACTGTTAAATCAACTATGGAACATGCCTCATTGTAGTAATTAATTTTTTTTTTCTTATTAAAATCTCGATGCTCGAATTCTAGTATTTGCAGATTTACAATGCAACTGATATTTACATGCTGTATATTGATCCTTACTTTAGAAACTTAATTTTTTGTGAGCAGGTAGTTGATATAGAGGAAATGGCATGGGCACCAAAATATGGGTTGAAAGGAGTGATTGATGCTTCCCTCCGAGTACAAATTCTCTCAAATTCCAGAAACACTAATGAAAAGATAATACCCCTGGAGTTTAAAACTGGTAAAGCAACTAGTGGCCAGGCAAGTTACCTTCTGACGAATTTTAATTCTTAGAAATTTAAAACTAATTTCAATCAAAATATATTTTCCTTTTTCTATTTATTTATCCTCTTGGCTGAATGATTTTTTACAGTCTCTCACAGAACACTCTGCACAACTAATTCTATACACTCTTCTCTTGTCCGAGAGGTGGGTATTTTGCTTTTCTTTATCTGTTTAAAAAGAGTTTTGGTACGTGAGAATAAATATGTTGATGTATCCTGTGTTTGTAAGATATATGCAGAAGATTGATTCTGGTCTTCTATATTACCTGTCGACTGATCAGACATTGGTAAGCTTTGGAAATTTCTTTCAGTAAATATAAATTCTATATTTACAATCTAATTTGCAAATGCTTTAAATTTTGCAAAGGGAGCAAATGTTCGGAGATCAGACTTGATTGGACTGATCATGCGTCGCAATGAACTAGCACATAGCATCATTAAGGCTTCGAAGGTGCAACAACTGCCACCAATGCTCCAGGTATTGCAGCTATTACTGTGGATAGAACTTTGCAACTTCATTTGACTTTCCTTAATTTAGTAATCCATATTCTTTGAATTTCAATCTTGTAGAGTCCAAACATGTGTAGAAATTGTCGCCACCTCAATGCTTGTTCCATTTATCACAAGGTAAATTTCTGACCTTTTCAGCCGGTAGACAGTTAATTCCTTAATCAGTTGTATTTGATGACTTAATCATTTCTTTACTTAAACAGTATCTCCGAAAATTATATTTGTGTGTTAAGTATACATACTGGAGTGGAATGTTCTCAGATATTTCTTTTTCTGTGGTCAATACTTTGATCACCTTGGTGTTTATAGATGATTGTGACCTCTTATCTCCTGATGATAGAGTTATGATTTTGCTCAACATAGGGGTGTTTCATGTTCTTTCTTCCAATTTGAGTAGAAATTACTATATGGTGATTATGGTTTTCAGTGCCTTTATATTTAGTCATTTCACATGCAGATTTTGACTATTGACATTAGATACAGAATTAGTATCTGAAACCAAGATATTCTGAATCAGAATAACCATGTCCAATTAGCATTTATTAACTCCTTGTTGTCTTTCTTGTAAGATATTCTTGTCAGACACTAAGATCAAGTCACTTATTGTGCATACATGTGATACTATTGTCATTTTTAATATGATGAACATACACATATGAAGCAATATCACAATTATCTCATTCTTCAGTACTCGTAGAGTTATAATTGTAACGTATGTAAACCATGATTCCAGGGTTAGATATACTTTCTGATTCCTTTCTCTCTGTCAATCTTTGTTATCTATAAATCAGTACTATCACTATTAGCATTATCCAATTGTTGATTTTTTTTCTGGGGCTATATCTTTTATTTGGACCATGCTACAAGTATGTATCATTAGTATGGTATCCAGGTGTTGGATCATTATCCTTCTTTAGTTGTTTATAACTTATATCAAAGTTTCTTAAGCTCATAATCATGTCAAAGTATCTGGTACTCGTTGGGGTGGTCTGAGTTAAAGATTAAAGAACGAGGCCAAGCAAAGAATCTGAGTTGTTAGGAGATTAGATATGCTAGATGGAACCCAATGTAATGTTTGGATCTTTGTCTCATTGCCTCTAGATTTTTGTCTGGTTATAGAAATCTATATCTTTATTTGGAAGGTAATGTTTGGTTCATTTAGCTTTACAAAGTAAATAATTCACATTTCAGATATAACATCGAAACTTGTCAGCAACATCTATGCTAACTCTAATGCTGGATGCCTCAGGTGCATGGTGGAAGTGCTGAGAGCAGTGGGTTGGGAGAACTTTTTGAGTCACTTACTGATCATTTAACAACCACTCATAAAGTTTTCTTCAAACAATGGGATCGGTTAATTGACCTAGAAGCTAAAGAGTTGCAGGTATGTGCTACTCATCCATAGTATGATTAGCTGGCGAGTCACTGTTTATAATTCCAGAATTAATTTTTGTGATTTTTATTTTTTTCAGCTTCCCAAATTTGAGAGAGGGAGATCATATGATTCAAAGAGTGAAAACTTCTCTAACTGCCTGTCGTCAATAGTTCTTGATGCCTCTGATGAGCTTCATCTACGAACATGTACCAAAGATGAACGCTTTGTTTATCGCTTTGTGCACAAGGATAATCTCATTTCTAATAGGAAAGATAACCAAGATTCTAATTCGGCAGAGAATGACTTACATTCTAGTCTCCGTAGTGGTGATCGTGTGGTATGTCTCATCATTTGTATTTTTAACAAAGATAAGAATTATCAAAATTTTGCTGCCCCAAAACATAGTTAATATCTCAAAAATATGGCTGAACTTGCACTGGAGTCATCCACATCAAAAATATCCATGAGGGTGATACAATTCAATATATGCGTTTCCAAGTTTTATCCATTTCCAAAGTGTACTGAAGATTTAGGGACAGGACTGAGGGGGTACCTGGCTCATTATATATTACATTCACATAAATTCCTTAGCAAGTGAATCTGGAAAATTTTGTCATTGCATCTGTTGAAAGTAGTAATGTGTTAAAGCCTGGTTTAAGCCAGATTGATAAATTTCTCACCCTTGATCAATTTGTGAATATTTTTCCCCCCTCACATATCTGGTTTAATTTTTCTTCCTAATACCTTGCAAAGTGTATATTGTTTAGCTGTATGATACAACTCTTGTCTTCTGTAGACTACACAATCCAATCTCAAGTTATTTCTTATATCAGTGAGATCTGCCTTTCAACCTGTGCACCTTGTTTACTTAGCTATTTGTAAAGAGAAGGGAAGATTATTTGTCAAGGACCACAGAAAGTACTGTCCTGTTTGAATTGTTACCCTTTTCTGCAGAACCTGTTAGCCTCACTTTTTAAGACAAATCATCACTTATTTTTCTCCAGTTGCTTGTTAACTAATCTTACTTTGTATCCTTAAACAGATTTTGAGCACTGAGTCCAACAATCTTGCTGTTGCAAGTGGTATTATCACAGATATCAGTCGCTCTTGTGTTTCAGTAAGGACAGACTCTGCAGATATTTTTTTTCTCTTTTTTATAATTTACATTATCATTTTGTTGTCAGGCATGGTGTAAATGTTTCTAATTGTGCCCCATGTCTAATGAACTCATTTGTTTTTTTCTTCATTTTAAAATTAGGTCTCATGTTCTAAGCGCTTGCGGCTTCCAAGAAGTACTATATCTTCAATGTCACAGGATCTTTATCAGGAGGTCTGGCGGATAGAGAAGGATGAATTTGCTACATCCTTTGCTACTATGAGGTGACTCTCTGAAGTGCTGACACTTTCTTAAGTTGTGTCAAAATATTGGCTGAAAAATTACACTTAATGCGTGTTTCTTTTTCCTATAAGGTTCAATCTGGTACAGCTTTTTCTGTTAAGTGCACAAAGTGATCGTTTGAGGAAGCTAATTGTGGATCTCGAGGTAGGTCTCAATTCCATTCACAGTTTCTCAGTTTGATATAGATAGTCTATGTTTTAATTCTATAATGCTGTTCCCTAGGCTCCTAGATTTGACAGTGGGTCTATACCTAGCCAAGATCCTGCTATATCCTACATTTGGTCTGAGAAAAATTTAAATGCTGATCAGCGCAGAGCAATCATCAAGGTGAAATTTTATTTTATGATTCGTCCCGCCCTTCCCCCCTCCTTTGTTTTCTGATGTACTGGCTTATTTAATGTGTTTCTGGTTGCTGTTCTCTGGTAAGTGTGGTTAACCTAGTTTCTTATGCAGATACTTACAGCAAAAGATTACGCTCTTATTCTGGGAATGCCTGGGACTGGAAAAACATCCACTATGGTATATGCTGTCAAGGCTTTGTTGATGAGAGGATCATCTATTTTGCTTACATCATACACTAACTCAGCTGTTGATAATTTGCTTATCAAACTCAAAGCTCAGGTTATTTCTGTTCTAACTACATCTTGTAAAGGAAGCGAAAGAATGAAATTATTAGCCTCAGTTTCATGCTTCTGTGTGCATTGTGTGTGTACTCACTAAATCATATCGGATTATGCTCTTTTTTTTTTATTTTTTTTTTTTTTGGAGCTGGACTATGTTTCATTTTAAAAGTTGCATCACATTTCTTCTGTATCATGATGAGGGAGTTGCCCTTAAGGTCTTGAACTTATTGATAATTTCACAGTTCTCCTTATCATGTATACCCAGCTTCTGAGAAAACTCCATTTGTGCTGTAGATATTTTTTGTTTCCCCTCGAGTTATTTCTTGTTATTATGACTTTACACATTGGCAGAGTTTGGAATCAGATATGAAGTTTTGTCCTTTAAGTCTTGAGTTATGATCACAGTTTGAGCCACAAAAATTAAGCTTGGGCATATGTTGGATTGAATTTAAGCCTTTTCCCAATATCAGGATCCTTTAAATCATACACAAAACCTTTAAATAGGTGACCCACATGGTTTCCAAGCTGAATGTCATTAAATACGTAGTTATAATATATATGAGATGAACCAAGCTCAAATTCTTTAGGAATGGCTTGGTCCTTGGACATCCTGCTTATCAACTTTGGTTGGATTTTGATCTCATCAAGGTCTCTGAAGATATTTGCTGTGGTGTTATTGTGGGATCTCACGAGTCACAATGTTTGAACTCTTATATATTCTGCAGCAGTTTACTGCTTGTTTTTGCTGGGTCTTGTCTGATACATAGCATATTCATAAGTTTACTAGTTATATGGTCTTTACTAGTTATATGATCACCTTAAGCACTTTATCTTTTATGTACAATCAAAATCAGCTATTACTGGAAGTACAGCTCCATAATGTGGCAATTGCTTCTAGTATACTCCGTAGTTGATTTTTTATTATTTTTTTAGCCCTAACTGAAGGTGGATTTCTCAGGAAATAGACTTTTTACGTATTGGGCGAAGTGAAGCTGTGCACAAAGAAGTTCAAGGGCATTGTCTGTCAGGTTTTTGCTTTACTCCTATTTTATTTTGTAAAGATGACTTCAATCTCAGGAGGATAATTTCTGAATCTATTTTCTGACAGACATGGACATTCACAGTGTGGATGAAATCAAATTGAAGCTGGATCGAGTCAAAGTTGTTGCAGTTACTTGTCTAGGAATAACCAGTCCCTTGCTTGTAAATAAAAAATTTGATGTCTGCATAATCGATGAAGCTGGACAGACTAGCTTGCCGGTATGTGCTGCTGGTTTCTACCATGTATCATAGCTTGCTCTTAAAGAAGACTGCATTGTTTCTTATTATTTTTTTATTATGTTATATATTTTCTACTTTAAAATTCAAAACTCTAAACCATGATACTTATGCTGCTGTTTATGAGAATGTAAATCAAATATTACCTTTATTATAAATTTCCTCTTTAATACAAAGTATGCTGAAGATTGCAGTATGGGAGTTTTTCTTTTCTTTCCGGAGGGGAGGGGGGTAGGGAATAGGAAACTGAAGGTTAAAATTTGTAAAAGCAACTGCTTCTGATGCCTTGCTGAGGCTCAGGGTAGAGTAACACATTTCTATGTATGAATTGCCACTTTAGAGTTTTCTGGATTTTTTAATCATGGAAAGAAGAGGATCTCTATCCTTGGGTTGCATTTTGAGTAAAATAACTGGTCACGCAGAAAAAAAAGCTGTTTTCACTAACTTTTTTATGATGTTAGGTATCATTAGGGCCATTGATGTTTTCATCCAAGTTTGTCCTTGTTGGCGATCATTATCAGTTGCCACCATTAGTGAAGGTATGCACTAGTTGACTCTCAATTCAGCTGTATCAGTTTTCCCTCTCAGAAGGCCTGAATTACTTTGAATCTTTATAGAGTGCAGAGGCTCGAGAAAATGGAATGTCAGTAAGTTTGTTTCGTAGGCTATCAGAAGGACATCCTCAAGCAATATCAGCATTGCAAAGTCAGGTCAATCTTTGAATTCTGAATGAAATATGCTCACATGTCTTGTAGATTTCTGATGTATCACCAACAATACTGAATTTGTACATGTTCTCGTGTATAGTATCGTATGTGTGCAGGTGTCATGAAACTGTCAAATGCCCTTATATATGGTGAAAAACTGCGTTGTGGTTCTCTAGATGTGGAAAATGCAAAGCTTAAGTTATCAAATAAAGGTCCCATGTCCCCATGGTTGAAAGAGGTATTGATTATAATATATTTTTGGGTTAACTACATATTATTATCAATCATTTACATTCTCACTGCATTCACGGCTTTTGCTGATAATAACAGGTTTTAGATGCAGACAAACCAGTAATGTTTATTAACACAGGTCTTCTACTCTGCTGACTATATTCTAGTTTCAGTTACATACTGATGATGTGTCTATTTCTTACAAAATGAGATTTCATCTGATAGATATTTTACCTGCTTTCGAGACAAAGGATAAGAAGACTGTAAATAACCCAATTGAAGCTTATCTTGTAGCAGAGGTAAGGAGTTTTAGGGTGTCTTCCCTGGCTATCATATGTTAAACAATCAGAATTTTGTTAGTTGTCTGGCTGTGTCTTCAGCGGCAAATTTCCCTTTTTGCAAGTTAGGGATTCTTAATTTTCTAACTTTCAACTACTTATTGTAGATTACAGAGGCATTGACTAATCATGGAGTTGAAAAGGAGGAAATTGGGATCATTACACCTTACAACTCCCAAGCAACTCTGATCCGTCATGCTCTAAATATGGAAGCTGTTGAGGTCCACACAATCGATAAATACCAGGTTACAAATACTATATGCTTTTGGATATCTATATAATTTTGACTTATTGAAATGCCTTCAATTGTCTTAAGTTGCTTGCATATTTTGGGTTTGGCAAAGAATAATTGAATATGCATTGCCAAGAAACAGAAGATGGAGCAACAGCCATCAATCATGTGTGATAACAATATTAGAATTTGCTATAACCATGTGTAATAGATAGTTATGACGTCAAAGCAGTCGCATCTTTGGTCCTATGGTACTTAGACTTTTCGTTGAACCTCAAACATTTGAACCAAATTCACGATTATACTTAGAAATAGCTCAGTCGATCACTTAAACTTGCACCTGTGTCCAACTCACGTACTCAAGTTTGAGTTGCATGTTCTTTTCCTATATGTCCCCAGTTCATAAGAACTGTTAATCATATACAAGTAGATGGATTTCTGTTTATGAAAAAGACGTTATCATGTTCCTAGATTGCTGTTCCAGTCTAGGCCTTCTTTGTTCCTTAATACTAATATGCTTCTGTCTGTTCATTCTAAGGTTTGTTGCATGAAAAATCCTTCATGAACTTCATGAAGTTGTTAACTGTTATTTTTATACTCGTATATTTTATGTCAGTTGATTGGCAGCTCCTTGAATTATTCTGGCCTGTCAATTCATCAAGGATTAGTTATTAGTAAGCCATATATCAACTTGTTTTCTTAAACTTTCTTATCTGTTTGTTAGGGAAGAGATAAGGATTGCATAATATTATCCTTTGTTCGGTCATCTCGAAATCCAAGGAACTGCTCATCAACACTACTCGATGATTGGCATAGAATCAACGTGGCTTTGACACGTGCTAAGGTATGTCTTCTTTGGTCTAATCCTTGACATCCTGTTATATGACCCATTGATTCCATCTGAGATTGTGGAGAAACATCCATTGAATATCTGGTGATTATACCACTCTTGTTTTGTTCACCAGTAAATCTCACGAGGGTACTGCCATTAAGTGAGTGGACAACAGTAGTTCGTTTTTAAACTGACATAATGAGATCAGTAGAAGATAGCTGCAAATTACAACAGTCCAATAAATCAAATCTCATCCTTGTGTCTTTCTTGGGCATCCAAATGACTTGCAATAGCATAAAAAACCCCAATATAACCTAAGGGAGTAGCATTGCCCATTAAAGAATCAAGGTATATGCAAAGGCCGTCATAAATGCTCTTAACTACATTAAAATGTACCCTGATATGCAAGTAAACAATGTTAGAAAATACACTTACCAGTGAAAGATATTGTGTAGGCATTAGGCAGGCAAACTCATCTTACCTGGACTAACCTCAAGTACATGGTAAAATATCCGAGTTCAACACTATTTTGTGCTAATATTACATTATAGAGGGACTCCTGATTTATACAGACTTCAAAACCTAGGCGGCTAGGCCTATGGCAATGCCCAGCATACCTGCAAGCTTGTGATTTGCCATCATATAACTCATCCTAAAATTATCAACGTTTGTGTTTTTGCAGAAGAAGCTAATAATGGTGGGTTCGTGCAAAACTCTTTCAACAGTTCCACTTCTAAAGCTTCTCATTGAGAAAGTTGAAGAACAGTCAGGGATTTTTTGTATCACCAGGAAGGATTTTGAGCCCAAGACAGAGTTGAAGCGATGCTCTCACATTAGATGAGTGTACATATTTAAGCACACGTGCATGTATCAATTTTGACAGGTTATTGAAATTTCCAATTTTTTATATGATTTTTGGAAATCTGTATAGAGACCCTCCAGTCCCAGATTTTGTATCATATAAGGAATTGGGAAGTGGAGCGGTGTTTTGTAACAAATAAATTGTGTATAGTAATTAGGAAACAACAGTCAAGTTGAAACTAAATTTTGGAAGTGAAATATAAGGAAATGCATTTTTTTTTGCTATGAACTTCCAACTACTACGTATTAACTTTGTTTGTTTTCCTGAAGTGCCTCTTGATTTACCAAAGTAAACTTCATATAGACAGGAAGAACAAAATCTGCTGCAACATAATCCTTTTTATCAGGATCTTAAGCTTCATGGTGATGCGAATCATAAGATCAAGATGTCAGATTTCAGAAATGACAGTAGCTTTGCTAATTTAAAATCTAATCATTCAATTGTCATTGTGTTTTACCTCATTTTAAGATCCCCCTTTACTCAAATGGCTCACATTTTTTGTACAAACATAACAGCGGTAAACTTCTGAGGTTCTGAGTGTCTGAGTGATGCTCAACCAGGAGTCCAGGAGTAATAGTGACTTGGGTTGTTTACAAGTTACTCATCTTCAATGTAGTCATAGTTCAAGCTTGTTTCTTTGAAGGAATCTGATAAAACCGGAAAAACACATGGACTAAACCTCTACTCAGTAATGACAACTTAAAAAGCCTATAAAACACATACAGAGTGGAACGTACTCAACGGAACATCATTCATCGCGTGTTAAATCTTTTAGCATTACATAAACTCATACAATCAATTACTTATTCCTCATTGGGAAATACACTTGTACACTAAGAACAAATTACCTACTCGTATTTAAAAATTGATTTTACATACAGATTGCTGCAAAGTTAGCATGTCTTCTTCCTCCAACCTATACATTCTCCTTGATTTAATAAACATGGGATGAGATCCAAGAGAGTGCAGTAAGATAGTGGATTCTCCTTGGGAATATGCAAAACCAAAATTCCCTTTTACTACCCACTCTTGGAATTACATTTTGATGCCTTTGGTTGATTCCAATTTTTTGTGAGTATTATATGTCCAAACATTTAGCTTTATGTCTTTGTCCTTTTTACTTGTTTTTTACATTATTATAATCAATCAAACACCGTAAGGTTATGTTGGAACAAAGTGCTTTGGTGTGTGAATTTTGTGAAAAACAAAAGTCCCACATTGATGAGAAATGCAAGGTTTTCCTCTTTTATAAAGTAGAGTGTGGAATATTTGGGTGTGGCCCTCGGGCTACCCACATTTTGTGGAGAGGGAGGACTTACCTATCACCCACACACGCGCGCCGGGCAGAGTTGGGTCGGGTCGGGTTTATTAAACACCATAGCCGTTTAATTTTCGGTTTTGGTAAATGTTGGTCATGGGCGGATTTAATGGCTGAACCGTTATGCTGCAATTTTTGCCTATAAAAGGCCTCTTTGTTCTCGGTTTTTTACACAACAAAAATAACAGAATTTTTTAATCTCTCTTCTTCTTAAAATATTCGACCAGTTTCATACATTTTTCGGTGTTTAGTTGCCCGGTGGTTCAGTGCAAATCCACCGATAATTTATAGTTTTCAGACACTGTTTTATCCTGGGGGACATCCGGTTACGTAGAGCTGCTTGCACAACTTCGAGGCAGTACCGTGAATGTTCTAAAGAGAGCGACATAGTCCGCGACTCAATCTCATTCCGGTAACATTGTTCTTACTGTTTTCGTTCCTGCAGTTTAGTTTACAATAGGTTAGTAACAATTACAAGTTTAATTATAAGATTGGAAGTTATTGATTATTATCTCGAATATGACCCAATTTGAATTTATCTCAAATTAAACATAGATAAACAAACTAGATGCGTCTTTACTTAATTATAGTGTAGATAATATGTTATTTAAGATCGAATTCGAGTACTACTATTCAATACTTTAACCAACTAAGCTAATTATAATATTACAAAGTACTTGTTGGCAGGGCCCCTAGATGGTTGAAATTTCTTGCAGAGTGTTACAAGTTATTTGAGTTTTAGTACTTAATTTGGTAAATAAATGATAATAATCTCTTACATTTATTTAAATCCGGGTCTAATTTTTAAATATAAAATAGGCACTCCAAAATATTTAGGACGACACTGCTTGTTGGTCAATTGCAAATTGTCAAATTGATCACACTGACTTACAAGTTGTGTAGGCAGACCAAAAGGGAGATCCAGGCCAATTTGACAAGCTCAAAATTTACTGATCCGAGGCTCTAGTTTTGGTAACATATGGTTGTCTTTGGTTGGTACAGTAGTACCCAAATTAAAACAAATGATTTGCTGGAAGAAGATAACATATACTGTAATTAATAATATTCAAATCTTGTAGTAAAAATTAGAGGTGTTAAAACCACACCCGACCTGATCCGATCTGAAACCGACTCAAAAAAGATCTGATTCTGTTTTCAATCCGTGTGGACACTCTAATATGACTTAATTTTAAAAATTGACCCGACTCGACCCGACCTCATTAGATCCGATCCTATCATCCCAATTGACACCGTAAAAATACCATGCACCATGCTGTCCATGCAACAATTACTTCGTTTATAATCAATCAACCTTGAGATGTTTACTTCAGAGTTGATTAGCAATTGACTTGATAGTTGATCTTGCTGACTAAGACTGACACCTTACATCCAATCAAAATGGAATTTTAAAAATTACTCCTAGAAACGTTGGATTGAGTCATAGTTATCTGTATTTTCTGAGTTTTTTGTGTTTTTAATTATGAGACAAACCATTTTATTGACTATAAGCAATAAGCATTGTGGGAGCTTTTTTTATTTGGACCTTTTGGTACCTTACTTAGGCATGCTCGACAAGTCCTCTTCCAACCACTATGCATGGACAATAGACAATAGTGTGTATAATGTCTATATATATGGACAATAGACAATAGTGTGTATAATGTCTATATATATATATATATATATATATATATATGGTTTAATGTGGATGTCGTTGGATTATCAATTGTCATTTATCTTAATTAATTGTAAAATATTAAAAAAAAAAAGGATCGATAATACTAAAAGATGAGCTCAAATTTCAAATAAATCACTTTGTCTTTTATGACTCTCTAGTCTCTACTTACGAGAGTATTTAATTTATGACTCTACTTATGGTTGTATCCTCTTGATTTTAGGACTAAGTTAAGCCTTATCAAACAGCTAATGTGAGTATTTTACATTGATAAAAGGAGATATGGTTAAACACTTTATAATACTAAGGTGATATGAATTCTCATATATATTGTTATATGGTTTTGGGATGAAATACATCCCTAAGTGTGTAAAATGGACTTTCTCTCTTACGTAATCCATTCTTTCGATTAAACCAATTCTAAATAACATGTTAAACGTCAATGAAAATTCATTATATAATGTTATACATGGTCCAATATAACAACTCCTCACACCTTTTGGTAACCACTCTAGAGGTTGAGAATTTTCCATGAACTTCATCTATTGGTCACAAAGGTAATTCATAATACAAGTATTCATGACTTCTTTTTTATTTATTTATTTATTTTATTTTTTATTTTTTGGCATATTATGGCCTGGTCATATGAAAATGACATATATGTTGTACATAAGTTGATGACACAATATTACAATGTCCCAACATGCTATTGAGGGGCTAGATATATTGCATGCTACTAGTAAAGTGAGAGGAGATGTCAGTGAAAGAGTAGCTCATCACTTTTAAAGTTGTCCTTGAGCACTAAGTAAAAAAAGTTGACGTTTAAGTAGAAAATGTTAAAATTAGGAGTCCCCCCATGTCCCTACGCATGTAACACATCACATAAGGACAATAAGATCGATCCATCAAAACGGTTCTTTAATTGAGGTCGTAGAATACTAGAATTCCTTATAGAAATTACTCGGATCCTTCTGATCATCACGAGTCAAAGTCATAGTCGTACTAATTGTGTAATCCTATATCACGGATTTATCACTGATGACAATTTATATTTTTCAATGTAGATTGTTGTTCCTCGTAATTTAGTATGACGATATGATGAAAAAGAAAATTAGGATTGGACTTGGTTTCTTGATCTTCAAACCTGCAAATCGGTACAATTTTCTTGGATTAAATGGCTTTTTAAGCATTCTTTATATCCCTTGAAGTGTATTTGATATCCTACCCCTTAATTGGAAACTCTTACTTAGTACGAGTAAAGTTTTGTTTACGCGATCTAAATTAATTGCTTTTGGTACGTAAAGGTCACTTACTCGCATGATCATCATCACTATTCGTTTTTAGTGATGTGCTTGATTCTTGTTTTCCTTTTACTAACGGTTAATCAAATATTCAAATATCTTAAAGGCAAAATTGGCCGCAACATCCTGAAGTATGGCTTAGGTGCATTGAGCACCCTGAACTATGCATAGTAGCCAAAACACCACCGATTATGGTGTTAGGTGCGACGCGTGCCTTAAATGAAAATTTCCGACGAAAACACCCCACATACCTAGTTTCTTCACGTCCATTTTTATTATCGGGTAATTTCTTCCTACCTAGTTTCTTCACGTCCATTTTTATTATCGGGTAATTTCTCCCTTCTAGTACTTCGTATATGTTTATGTAGCCTTGATAAAGCTTGCTTACTAAAATTGACAATGATTCTTATCATAGAGAACAAACAAATAAAAGATGTGTAAGCTCAAATCTCAATCAATAACTATCATGTCCTAATTAATTATTTCTATTATTTATTAATGAATGATCTATATATTTCAAGGACTAGTACTTAATGATTAAAGATGGTCGTCACGCCATAGAATTGAAAGGGACAAAAAGCTAAAAAGTAATGGTATCAATAGAACAATAAACAAAATAAAAGGGCATTTATTTCTTGAAATGCATGTCACCAACAAATTGTTGTCAAAATCAAAACAATTTCCATTTTGTATGTAATCAACCAAATTAAAACATGTGGTGATCATAAAAACTCTTGCTATCAATTTTAAGAATCAATCATCAAATCCTTATAGCTTTTTGTATGTGGTCCAATCCTATCATTATGATTTTTGAGTGTTTAACCCTATTTTTAATCTTAAAACACCATTCTTTTAATTATTAAGTCTACTGATAAATACTAATAAAAAAAAACCTCGTTAATTAATTGTTATAATTCCTTTTTTTAGATGAAACACTTTGATTTTTTTTAATGTACTTATTTACAACTTACAATTATATAAAATCTTGTTAAATTTAAATCAATTTATATTTATTGATAATTAAAGATTTATATGGCTGAAAATATGCATTAATGAGAGCACATGTTTTTTTTTTCTTGTTTTTTTTTTTTGGACAAAAGAGAGCACATGTGTTTAGTCTTTAGAGTACTATTTTTAAAGCTTATTAATTTTAGTAGCTTTGATTTGTAACAATAAGAAAAGTACCTCAAAATTAAGGTTAATACCTATTGTTTTCCTTTACTTTGCCAAACACTATAAGTTAGCAATGTCTTTCCCATTTATTAAAAAAAAAAAAAAGCACTATTGATATTTCATCGTGAATTAAACTCTTTTATATATTTGGGTGCTTCTTGCATTAGATTTTCACAATAAACTTGAACCTACCAAGGGTAAGGGATAGTGCTACTTTTTGTTCAATTGGAAAGCCGCTCCACATATGATCTTCCCAAAAGCGTAAATGATCATTATTAAAAGTAGCTAGTTGCCTTAGCTAGGTTTTTGGCCCAATCATCTCTAGATTCACCTTGAATGTACAATGCAATTCAATCTTTACGACATGTACATGACGAGGTAATGATTATGCTTGGTTCTTAACTCGAACAAATTAGGTTTTCCACTTTCAAATTAAGCCTAACTAGACTCAATAATCTAACTTGAATTTAACTCAAAACAAACAAAATTAATTGTAATTTTCAATACGCTTAAAAAGTGGATTTTTTTTTTTAAAACCCGACCTAAAACATAAAAGGGTTAGGCCGTTAGGCTAATATTGGAAACCTTAACTTAGAGTTAATCCACCCAGTCCGTAAAACTTTTCGAGTCAGGTTCATCCGTTCATGTTGGATTGAGGGAAATGTATTATTAGGGTAATAAAAGTCAAACTAAGCAAAATGAAAGTAAATAGGGAAGGAAGAGATAGTGATTGTGTGCTTGTAAGAAAAATTATGTAGTGATGGTGAGGTATGAGGTAAAGAAAGAAGAACTAATTCCCTCATTTTAGGGATAATAGTTACACTAGGGGAGGGTGGGTAATTATTACTTTCATTATGAGGGTAATAATTCTTTCATCTCTCTCTTTTCCTCATGACACAACCATCTTATTTCATTTGCAGACACCATACCTCCTACAACAACACCACTAATTACTTATATTTTTTCAAGTTTAACTTTTATTACCCCCTTAATATATTATCCTCAATCCAAGCATGCCCTAAACTGAACTCATTTAACCAGCTTAAATAGCGCTATGTATTTCCTTTATTCTTTTATATGCCCCATTTTAACAATACTTATGTCAATGCGAGATGTTGACCAATAATATATGTAGAACTTCGTATTCAATTATCAATATAAGTATAAATATAAATAGTTGATGGTTTGGGAAACTATTATTCTAGATCATTTTAACAAGTACGCTGTACTATGTCTACATTTACAAAATGGTGAATTGGAAAAACAGAGTACCACTAATGTGCGGGACTTTTATAAGAGCAAAAGACAAAGATAACAGATTCATCAACAGAGTGGGAAACTAGAAGTCAAAAGAGTGCATTTGCTTTCATAATTAAGAACACTCGAGACCCATGGGAAGAATAATTTGGACAATGAGATAGGATCAAACATTCAAACCGCATATTCAAATAGCTTGTTCTGTTACCTATTGGTTTTAAGATGAAATATATTTGATGTTTGTATGTAGTTTAATTCTTATTGTTATTTCACTTTTTATTAAGGATAATACTACATGTAGTTCTAAGGGCAACATATAAGCATTAAATACACTCTTGAAAATTGTACAAATTTAGGAATTTATAACAAAAACACGCGTGAATCAGTATAATTAGTGTTTATATTTTTATAATTTCTTAAATTTATACGATTTTCTAGTGTGTATATAATGCTTAAATGTAGCCATAAGGACTATGTATAACATTTTCTTTTTATTAATAATAGGTGCGGCTCAAGTCCATCTAACTATTAATGATATTTATCGGCCACTAAAATTTTCTTTTAGGTAATCAATTATTAATAAATGATTGACAAAACCATTTACAAATACAATAGTCTCAACAACAAAAGGACACTCCGCAACTCACACTCTAGTAGAGCCACTAACTTTATTGACAACTTTACCACCATAGCCGCTTATAAGTTGATGATGATCTATACCATTTTATAAGTTTTTTTCATAGCCGCTTATAAAGCTAATAATTTGGCTAGCAACTTTTTGCCTTTTGACGAACTTATATGTGAGCAATATCATGTCAATAATTTATAAAATAAAAAAAATTCATGGACATCAAATCAGAGCACGCAGATTTACGTGGTTTAAGTACAATATGTTAGTTACGTTTAAAAATAATTAGAGAAAATTTAAGGGGTTGACATAATACGTACTCTCAAAACATAAACGGAAAAAGCCTTAAAAATAAGCCCGAATTTAGAATCATAGGTGTGTTATCACTTTATTTGTGTGGAGCAAACATATTCAAGGCATATTGTAAATTTTTAACAATTGAAAGAAAAAAAAAACAATAAAGCATTATGATGTATATTCAATGTTGACACCACTAGTATGATGTATGTTGCTATCCCTAGAGTGGGAAACACCTTGCTGAAATGGGTGGGCAAATGCCATTTGGGATCACTTCTTCAACTTTGGCAAGATCTTTGTTTAAGTATGATGTATGTTGCTATCCTAGAGTGGGAAACACCTTGCTGAAATGGGTGGGCAAATGCCATTTGGGATCACTTCTTCAACTTTGGCAAGATCTTTGTTTAATGGCCTGGAAAGCCTCAAAACTTGAAAGGGACTTTTGCTTGCATTCTAAACTAACAAAACCAAATTGCTCACTTTCTTTTTTCCTTTCCTTTTGGTATATGGTCCATTTAGGGAATAGGGGGATCATTTGTACTTTGAAGGATTCTATAGTGGCTAAAAATTACCGCAAATCACTGTAAAGATTTCAATGTATGTTCTAATTTTTTGATTTTCACTTAATTAAAAAGGATCTTGCTGACGAGCATCTCGGATCGTTAGATAAGTAAATAATATATTGATTACTTAAAATAGCACGGAGTATTAAGTTAAGAATACATGACAAAAACACGCGTCAATCGGTGTAATTAATGTTAATTTCTTATTTGCACTTTTAGTTTACCTATCTAAATCCCCGAGGCGCTTGTTAGATTTTGCCAATTAAATATATGTAAACTCATATAAATTGTTCAAACTTATTTAAGTCGTATACTAAACTTATTTTATTACTTCGTAGTTTATTTTTTCTAAAATAAGTGAAAGTAATGTGATTAGAATGGTCTATAGTTAAAATTTGTATCACGCAATCTAAATAGACATCCATAAAGCCATAACTCTTAAAAATATACCCCATTTCCCGAATTTGAGAACAAACCAAAATGCACATTCAAGTTTTTTACAAGTCATTAACCTTTAAAAAATCAATGGTTCTTGATATTCCAAAAGAACAACCTCAATTTTTTTAAAGAGTTTAAGAGGGCAAGTAAATGCTTAGAGCAATTAGAAAGACAAGTAAATTTATGATCAAAACATTGGAAAAGTCCGAAAATCAGTTCATTAATGGTATTGGGGGCAATCTAGCTATTTTTATGTTGTTAGCACAAATATAGTGAATTGTCTCAAGGAAGATTAAAAATCATAGATTGTTGCGATTTTTCAATACCACACTACTTTAGGGAAGTTAATATATATAATCGCTAATTTATGGGCCGTTCGAATACCATTTGTATATTCTTAATTATTTATTTCACACTTTTATACAATTGATTGAAATAATCCTATTGTAATTTGTAAATTTCTCTCCTTTTAAAGCCCCATCATTTAAAACGTCAGAAACCCCAAAAAAACAACACAGCCAAAATACTAGGGGTTGTTGAGGCCTACCTTAAATTCACTATTTCTAATCTTTTCTATCTCTCAATTATAATCTCCAAGAAAAAAAAAAAAACATTTCATAATTATTTTTATTATCATAAAACCACGAACACAAACAAATGCCCTAAAATCCAAAAAAGAATCAATCCCCTGCAAATTTAACCTTTACTTGCATCACGTGAAATTCTTCAAAACCCAGTTTTTGTTCTCTAATAAAACCCTGTTTAAGCCAAGAAAAAGTTAATTACACACTAATTCATAATTAACAGTTTAACACCCCCACCAATTATCTTATAATATATATGTGGGTCCCACTTGATCAGATAGATTTCTCTGTTTTTCTCCACTATTATATATTGCCTACAATACTATGCTTTTGAGCTTCTCTGTAGTCCTTTGTATTAGGACTATTTATTCACATATTTTCAACAAACATACAAAAAAAGGGCTGAAAATTGGAGGGGGATAATCATGCCCTATTCTTTTCTTGCAGCAAGTAAGTTCTCTTTAAATTAAATTATGTTGATTGCTCTTTTATGTTGTGTTTTTGGTAGTTTTGCTAAATGCATTATATTGTTTCCTATGATTATGTTATGGCAAGGCCGGGAGGTTGTATTTAAGCACCCTCTAAGACTGCGTTGTTGTACTTTACATTACCAAAGCGTTAAACACAATGGTCAAACTGACTTAGCTGGGTTAATGCTATTTGTTTCATATCTAATGGTTTTAAGTAAGGTTTAACACGCCGATGATGAAGCTAAAAATAAAGACGATGAATAAGGCCTGAAAACTGCATTATGATATGTATGGACGGATACGTGTATATCATAATTTGTACCGTTTACAATTAGATTAAAACATTTTAAAGATTTCCTTAAACTTCATCTCTTGCTACATTGTTTGAAGTGGGGAGTACTGCTCTTCATATTCTTGACTTCACGGTATGTGATGAGGTAACATTATTCATGTAAAACAGCAAGAAGTAACATGTTTAATAGCCTGAAATAAACAAAAGTCGATCATTTTATAGTAATCTAGGAGTATTTGGGTATATGTAATGGAAAAGAAGGAATAAACATAACTCTGAAGAACAAAAGCAATACCTTTCATTAACATTAATTCTAGTGGCACACTGTTAAAAAAATTGACAAGCTTTCCTACTAAAAATGGCTCTACAATAGAAAGTAGCATCAGTATATTCTATTATCATTTATCAAGTTATATACAAAAAGCATCTCCTTGCCATCTTTATTACTAGGAGTATCTTTTATGAACACTTTCATCATTACTTGCGCCGTAGGCTATATCTTACAATTTTCAACATGGCAAAACTTCGAAAAAGATATCAGATAAAATAATTCCCTCAGTCTGCAATCAATTGTCATGTTGATAGTGTGTTGATAGTGTTAGCTGAACTACTAACTATATCGACAACTAATTCTGGACAGAGGTAGTCATTCCAAGGCTTCGTTGTTCGGCAATTAATGTTTGTTTGGTGACAAAGCTATAGCTATATTGCCTGTTTGATACAGTTGACACAAAATTTCTTGGAGATGAGGTGATAATGTCACCTTATTCACAATAGATGCTAAGCTTGTTGTTTCAGCGGGGTTGAAATTTTTGCTGAGTTAGGACTTGGAGATATGTTCAGTATGAAAACTACTTTCATCAACATACAGATTAAGAAAATAAATGTTGTTGCAATGGCATCTAAAGTGACAAATAGTAGTGTACAGATATGTTAAATGACAGATAAGGTTGAATAAATAAGTTTAGTATGGAACGGAGGGAGTATCATGGCATTGTACAAAAGTCGATGCCATACTGTGCACTGTATATAGTAGTCAATCTGTGAACTCATGATCAGTCTATTGCTACAACTTAAATTGTCCTCCTAACTCGCAGGCAATTAAGCTCGTTTTCAAATTATATTGTTCAAGTATAATCATTGAATTGTTTTTGTTTCGTATGGCAGATATAAAGCTATTGAAACCAACAGCATGGGAACAGCTGAAGTCTCCCTGCTTGTGGGAAGAGATCAGCATATTTTTGCTGCTGGGGTTCTATGGGATTCTACTGTTATACTTCATCAGAAAAATGGCATATGCAGTACACATGTACACTACAAAAGCAACAGAAAAGGATGCAGAAATGTACCCTGATAGTGCAAGATTAAGCCTTTGCTCGAAAGTCAGCATTGTTTCTTCCACTTTGCTTTTGAGTGTGCATTTGACTTCTTTATGCTTGCTGGTAAAAGGAAACAAGATTTCGTGCGATCACTATGTTCCTGCTCTCTCAGCTGAAATTATGCAGGTTATGTCATGGATGATCACGATAATTGTATTGTGCAGAATTCTAACCAAGAATTACCTCATTTTCCCCGGAATTCTAAGATTCTGGTGGGTTTGCAGCTTCTTGATCACAGCTTGTCATATTGCCATTGCTTTTAACTTTATAATGGACAATCATGGGCAGCTTAGGATCCAAGAGTATGCAGATTTTCTCGGTTTTTTTGCATCAGTCAGCCTGTTGGTAATTTCCATTCAAGGGAAGATGAAAATAGCGCATGACAATGCAAGAAGCAATATGACTGAACCACTTCTCAATGGAGAAACTGGAAAAAAAATTAAAGGAAAAGGCGAGTCACTTTACAGCAAAGCAACTCTTCTTGATCTCGTTACTTTCTCATGGCTCAATCCATTGTTTGTCATTGGGAAAAAGAAGCCACTTGAGCAGGAAGAGATCCCAGATGTTGATGTGAAAGACTCTGCTGCCTTTCTCTCGCATTGCTTCGATGAAAACCTAAAACAAGCCAAAGAGGAAGAAGGAATAACAAATAGCACATCAGTGTATAAGGCAATTTTCCAATTAGCATGGAAAAAAGCAGCTGTAAATGCATTATTTGCAGTAATAAGTGCGATTTCTTCATATGTTGGTCCGTATCTAATCAACGATTTTGTGGTTTTCCTCAGTGAAAAGAAACACAGCAGCCTAAAAACTGGCTACCTCCTTGCTCTTGGATTTCTAGGGGCCAAAGTGGTTGAAACAATTGCACAAAGGCAATGGATCTTTGGGGCTCGTCAATTAGGGCTCCGCCTCAGAGCTGCTATGATATCTCAGATATATCGAAAGGGCTTAATGTTGTCATGTCAAGCAAGACAGAGTCACACCAGCGGAGAGATAATGAACTACATGAGTGTAGATGTTCAAAGAATCTCAGATTTTGTATGGTATGTAAATACACTATGGATGTTACCGGTACAAATATCGTTAGCAATCTATGTTCTGCATACAAGTCTAGGTTTGGGATCACTTGCAGGATTAGCTGCCACTTTAGTTGTTATGTCTTGCAATATACCTCTAACAAGAACGCAGAAAAAATACCAGTCAAAGATCATGGATGCTAAAGATGCTCGGATGAAAGCCACCTCAGAAATCCTGCGTAACATGAAGTCGATAAAACTTCAAGCATGGGACGATCAGTTTCGACATAAGTTAGAAAGTTTAAGAAATACAGAGTCTTCTTGGATATGGAAGTCATTGAGACTAGGGGCTGTTGGAGCCTTCATTTTCTGGGGCTCACCTACCTTTATTTCTATAATAACATTTGGAGCTTGTCTTCTAATGGGAATTCCGCTCACAGCAGGTAGTGTATTATCTGCGTTAGCAACCTTTCGTATGTTGCAGGATCCCATATTTAGTCTGCCAGACTTACTCAACGTTGTAGCACAAGCTAAAGTATCGGCTGATAGGGTTTCTTCTTACCTACAAGGAGAAGAAATTCAGCAAGATGCAGTCGAGTTTGTTTCAAAAGATGATACACCCTATGCCATAGACATAGAAGGGGGGAAATTCAGCTGGGATCCTAATTCAGGAACTCCCACCTTAGATAAAATAAACTTGCAGGTCACAAGGGGAATGAAGGTGGCAATATGTGGAACTGTGGGATCAGGAAAATCCAGTTTGCTTTCTGGCTTAATTGGAGAAATTCCTAAGAATTCCGGGACTGTGAAGATTAGCGGTTCTAAGGCTTATGTTCCTCAAACCCCGTGGATACTGACAGGAAATATTAAAGAGAATATACTCTTTGGGAGCCCTTATGATGCAGCAAAGTATGATAGAACAGTTAAAGCATGTGCTTTATTGAAAGATTTTGAACTTTTCCCACAAGGTGACTTAACAGAGATCGGAGAAAGAGGTATTAATATGAGTGGAGGCCAGAAACAAAGGATACAAATTGCTCGTGCAGTATACCAGGACGCAGATATATATTTGCTCGATGATCCTTTTAGTGCAGTTGATGCACATACAGGCACACAACTATTTCAGGTAAGCACTTGTAACTTTTAAGACTTAAATGTCATATTAAACTCTGAGTCTTACATAGTTCATTCTCTTACAATGTTCTGATTTCCAATAAACAGGAATGTCTGATGGAGGTTCTCGGAGACAAGACAATCTTTTATGTGACCCACCAAGTAGAATTTCTACCAGCAGCAGACCTCATTCTGGTATGTAATCACAAATTCACAGCAATGTTTTATGCACTAGCTTAGCTAGATATATCATTCATGAGGGAACTTCTTATAAACAGGTTATGCAAGATGGGAATATATCAGAAGCAGGGACTTTTAATGAACTTTTGAAGCAGAATATTGGGTTTGAAGTTCTGGTTGGAGCTCATAGTCAAGCTCTAGATTCTGTTCTTAAAGTTGAAGGTGCTTCTGGTAGAACTTCTAAAAGTTCCTTACCACAAAATGTCCAATCAAGTGCTGAACAAATTCAAACAAGAGATGAAGAAGAGGAAAAACTTTCTCCTGAAATGAAAGAGAAGGAAGGGAGGTTGATACAAGATGAAGAAAGAGAGAAAGGAAGTATAGGGAAGGAAGTATATTGGGCTTATCTTACCATAGTGAAACGTGGTATTTTGGTTCCGGTGATAGTTTTAGCCCAATCATCATTTCAAGTGTTACAAATAGCAAGTAATTACTGGATGGCATGGGCTTGTCCAACTTCAGGTGATGCAGCACCTATAGCTGAGATGGACTATGTCTTACTTGTATATGCCCTTCTTTCTATCATAAGCTCACTTTGTGTCTTAGTACGGGCATCAGTATTAGCATACGCCGGCCTTTCTACTGCACAAAAACTCTTTGAGAATATGCTACACAGTGTATTACGAGCTCCAATGTCATTTTTTGATTCAACTCCAACTGGAAGAATACTGAATCGGGTAAGAGTTAGTCTAAATACTTTAAACTGCAGTAATTCCATATGTGCAATACAATCATCTAAATATAACTCATAATTTCATAAACATATCTAAGGATGAACCCTATCTACATATCAGAAACATACTTCCCACTTCTGTCAAACAGAACTACAGAAGGCACTCAAATCATCTGAGATTTATGTTAATTTATCAGTCAGATCAAGAATATTAATCAGAGTACTCATCTCGGCATAAAAGACTTTCTAAACACTAAATTCATTAAGCAATTTACTTAATCCATTTCCACCTGTGTTACGAAATGCAAGTAAGAAAGATTTATGTTTCAGGGAAAGAATTTCCCAGCTTCTACACTTCAAAAACAATCAAGGGAATTTGTATATAAAAAAGAAAAAAAACGCAATAATAAGTTAAATTAAACACTTACTTCATATACAGGCATCATCTGACCAAAGTGTATTGGACTTGGAAATGGCACAAAGATTGGGCTGGGCAGCTTTCTCAATGATCCAGCTTCTCGGCACCATTGCAGTCATGTCACAGGTCGCATGGGAGGTCTTTCTCATCTTCATTCCAGTAACAGCAATCTGCATATGGTATAAGGTAAGCAAATTGTGCTTCAAACCTACTTAAGGATCATTGTAAAGAAGATTTAAAGAAGAAAATTACAATCATGAATATAATGATATTTCGCGCAGCAATACTACATACCAACTGCAAGGGAGCTAGCACGATTATCTGAAATACAGAAGGCTCCAATCCTACATCATTTTGGAGAATCACTTTCAGGGGCAGCAACAATACGTGCATTTGACCAAAAGGATCGATTTATCAATGCAAACCTTGTATTAGTAGATGGATTTTCAAGACCGTGGTTTCACAATGTATCAGCAATGGAGTGGCTTTCATTCAGACTCAATCAATTATCAAACTTTGTGTTTGCATTTTCATTGGTTCTGTTAGTGTCTCTTCCAGATGGAATTATAAATCCAAGTAAGCTCTCTAGAACTGATGAGTAAAACTAGAATGAATACAATATTTGCATTGTCATCATCATTCTATACAGCTTACTATAGCCTTAGGCACACCGAATTATTGTTGAAGAAACCTAATGTGTTTCGAATCTTTTGCAGGCATTGCAGGTCTGGCAGTGACATATGGAATTAATTTGAATGTTTTGCAAGCTTCAGTTATATGGAATATTTGCAATGCGGAAAATAAGATGATTTCAGTGGAAAGGGTTCTTCAGTACACAGAGCTTAATAGTGAGGCACCTCTTATCATTGACGATTGTAGACCACCAAACAACTGGCCAACTACTGGAACAATTACTTTCCAGAATTTACAGGTAAGCAGCTGCAGCTTTGATTAATAAGAAGCTAAAATTCTAAACCTCTGCCCCACAAAAACTTGAATGTTTTTTTAATTAAATGTTCCAAAATACACATTGCACTTTCCAACTATGGCATTTTCTCTCTACCTGCTTTTTCTTAGTACGAGTAGTCGAGTACTATTTATATCTCAATCCACTTTCTCTTACTATATTTTTCTCTACGGCTCTACCCACCCTAACTTTAAGCCAACACTTTCAAATACTTTTGTTTGTTTCTAACCCAACTTTCAATGTTCAAATCTTAATCTCTGGGTCAAAAGCAATCATGCAAGAGTTGCGAAACAAAAGGAGCAACTATCACACTTCATTGACATTCTTATGGCAATAATTAGCAGAAAACAAAGGACTCTGATAATAATGTCAGTCTTAATTTCATGATTCTGCAGATACGTTATGCTGAACATCTTCCCTCCGTCCTGAAAAACATAACATGCACATTACCTGGGAAGAAAAAGATTGGTGTGGTAGGAAGGACAGGCAGCGGAAAATCAACACTTATACAAGCTCTATTCCGCATTGTGGAGCCAAGGGAGGGGAGCATTATAATTGATGATGTAGATATCTGCAAGATAGGTCTTCATGACTTGAGATCACGGCTCAGCATCATTCCACAGGATCCAACAATGTTTGATGGTACAGTTCGAATAAACCTTGACCCACTCCAACAGCATTCTGACAATGATATATGGGAGGTAAAATAATTTAATTAATTACTATACCATTGCTTTTTTGTAGCTAGAAATGAAAACAAATCAGTAATACACTGCTTTGCATTTTTTAGGCATTAGACAAATGCCAACTAGGAGACCTTGTACGAGCCAAGGAAGGAAGAATGGAATCCACAGGTGAATACATCAAAACTTTTTCAGAAATATGGAGTAAGATTGTTTTTGCTAAAGAATCTAACTTATTGTATGTGATATGTAGTGGTTGAAAATGGTGAAAATTGGAGTGTTGGACAAAGACAATTGTTCTGCTTAGGAAGGGCACTACTAAAGCACAGTAGTATCTTGGTTTTAGACGAAGCAACTGCATCAGTCGATTCTGCTACTGATGGTGTAATTCAGAAAATTATTAACCAGGAATTTCGAGAACGAACAATTGTCACAATAGCTCACAGAATACACACAGTTGTTGATAGTGATCTAGTCCTTGTCCTCAGTGATGGTATTTTTGAAGGCCCCTTTTTCAAATGCTATTTTTTTTTTTTAAAAATTTGACACCAGATTTTGTAGAATTCTTTGAAGCTAAAAATACTGAGATTATTAACTAGAAAGTTTGTTTGGCAAAAACAGGAAGGATTGCAGAATATGATTCACCATCAAAGCTCCTAGAGAGAGAAGATTCATTTTTCTCACGCTTGGTTAGGGAGTACTCTACAAGATCACAGACTTTCAACAGCTCAGCAAAACTTGAAGGTTGAAACCATGAAGTAAATAAGCATAAGCAATGGAGTTGGCGACACATCTAGCAAGATGTATAAACCAAAGAGCAACCTAAGGAAAACAAGACTGCTAGTCATGTAATACAACAATCTCAAGGTTCTCCATCCTTGCATCTCCGGGCACTAGTGTGTCCATCCATAGTACGACAGCAACAAGAGAAGTGATACATCATATGTGCCTCCCTCGCCATGCTCAACTACCCTTATATAGCATCCCTAGAAAATTGTACTAAGATACACTCTATGAGCCCTATTGTAAGAGCTTACACTTTCAGCTCTTCCGGTCACTTAACTATGTAGGGTTACACTATTAGGCCTCTCAGCATACTAGCAAAACATATAATCAATCAACTTGCATCTTAGATAACAATGACTCAATGAGCCATTTTGGCAAACATTGAAATAATCAAATTTGTATGGAAATTTTGGGTTCTCTTCCCTAACATTGAAATGAACAAACTAAATTAAGATTTGGGCTCTCCCTTCTTGTATAAGGGGTAAGTGGGGTTACGAAACTCAAACCCGAGACCGGGGATCAAAGGGGTGTTGGAATTTAATGCTTAGGAAAATTGTTTTGTTGTTTTGGAGGAAAACCCTTGTCCCACATTGGTGGGATAAGGAAGGATTTACTTGTTTATATATTGGAGGAAAAGTGTTTTGCCCCACGTTGGTGGGAAAGGTATATTTTACATAGTTTAAATGTGAGAGTTATTACTTTGATGTTTGAAGTGTTTTTCTTATTGTTGTGGGCTAGAAGGGGGCATCCCCACGCGCAGCGCCGCCATCCGGTTCGTGTTCGTGGCACGTGTGCGGTGTGGTGTGCCTACTTTCCTCCACGGTTATTTGCGGCAGTTACAGATTACTTCTTCTATATATTCTGGTTTTTCGTGGCTTTTGAAACACAGAAAACATTCTTTCATCTTCTTCCTCTTTTGTTTCAGTTTTCCTCTGCGATTGTTCTGAGCATTGTTGTGAGTTCCTAATCTCCCTTTTTGAGTGCACATTAAGGGAGATCGCTGTGTTAAATCTTAAGGGGCAACGCCATCTCCGATTGCACCATAGTCGGTCGGGGCAAATTTTGCTTCTAAGACAGTGTTCCTAACACGTAACAGCGTTATACATACATTAAACAAACTCAGCCTACATTACAATTTCTTTTCTGATTTTACAGTTTTCCAACCTACAAGGGGCAAACTCTAACCCATTAGCTGCCCAGTACCCTCCCAATCTCATCCTTTTAATTATATAAATATAAGTATATAATCAAACTCAAAATCCAGTGAACATAGTTATACATCAAAATTTGATGTTAATCAAACATATAATTGAATAGCTAATTTTTCATAGGAAAAAACTGGGGTCTCGTAATTTTGGATAAAATTATTATTTTTTTTTTTAAGGAAAAAATCATTAAATTAGTTACTTTAAGTGGACATAATACAAGAAAATGGCATGCTACTTAAAGAATTATATGTATGAAATCATGAAAGTATAAAACGAATTTAGTTAACTGTAAAGAAATTGGTGGCTTACCTCAATAAATTGGTCTGATAATTGTGGAAAATTTGCGGGCTTTTGGGATTTCAGGTTGTGACTTTTTGAGTAACTTGGAGGAAGATGATTTCTTGAGAATTTGTGATGAGAGAGATGTCATGTTTGGCAAATGGCAATGAGTTGCGTATTACTCCATCCGTCATCAATTGTTTACTCCACTTGTCTTTTTTAGTTGTCCCCAAAAGATTGTCCCACTTGTGCTCTCTCTATCTCTCTCCTCATTGATATTTGTGTCAATCTATGTGAACCATTTTTTGCCCAAGCCTTAATAAAGTAAATTTTTTGGTTTAGGGCAAACAATTAGGGACTGAGGGAGTAGTATGGTTTTGATTCATTTGACTTATTTAAGGCTCCGTTCACTTTATTTCATTTTTGCTGAACTGAAATTATTTTTACTGAACTGAAATTATTTTTGCTGAACTTAAATTATTTTTATTGAACTGAAATTAATTATACTGAACTGAAATTATTTATGCTGAACTGGAATTATTTTTACTGATTCTATGTTATATTTCTTCTTCAAAGTTACTGATTTTTACAGAACTGAAATTATTTTTGCTGAACTGAACTTATTTTTACTGTACTAAACTTATTTTTACTGAACTAAAATTATTTCTACTGAATTTTTTTTAAAGGTGAAGTGAACATGGCCTTAGGCTCTGTTCACATCTCCTTAAAAAAATAATATTCATTTCAGTAAAAATAAGTTAAGTTCAGTAAAAATAAATTCAGTTTAGTAAACATTAGTAACTTTAAAGAGAAACATAATAGAAAATCAGTAAAAATAATTTCAGTCCACTAAAAATAATTTAAGTTCAACAAAAATAACTTCAGTTTAGTAAAAAATAATTTTAGTTCGTGCAAATATAATTTTAAAAAAAAATGGCCTAACTCCGTACAAACCTGCTACAGCGTCACTAGAAGTAAAGGTTAAGGCAATTTTGCCGATAAACTGAAAAAAAAAATACATGTATTTATACGACTTTGCTATTTGAGAAATATAGTTTCTTTCTTGCGTTCAGAAACTTGATAAATCTCTTTCTATACGGTAGGAAAGCAAACTTAAGTTGTGTCTAGACAAGAAATACATAACACAAGTTTGAATTAACTTGTAGAATAAAACTTGACTTTAAAAAAAAAAAAAGAAAGAAAAAAAGGAAAAAGAGAAATCTAACCCAAGAGAAGAGAACACTATGAAAATCGAGTCCTAATTCTGTCGTTGAAACACGTGCCTCTACTACGCCTAACCTGCCTAACCAAAGAAACTTTCATGTAAATCTTCGTGAAGGTATGAGATAAACTACCATGCATAGTGATTGATGCGTGTAATGTTACACCTTCATGTAATGATTTAAGAGTGTTTAACCCTATATGTAATTTTTAAGAAAATGTTTTGCGTAAGACCGGATTCACCGTGAGTCCAATATATCTGATATTAATAATCTAATATTTGACATTAATAATTTAGAAAAGGTATTGGATGCGGACTGCCGCACGCAAAGGCTGGCTGATATATTTTACTAGTTAACTGATATGTTTTATGTGTTGGCTGATATATTTCATTTGGTGGCTGATATGATTTTTGTGTTGGCTAATATATTCCTTTTGTTGGTTGATTTATTTATTTATTTTTATTTTTTTTACATGTTCCTTTTGTTGGCGGCTACCAGACATCAGTTGGCTTATATATATTTTTAGTTGGCTGATATCTTTGTCTTGTTGACTTATATGTATATTTTAATTGTTGGCTTATATGTTTCATTTTGTTGACTGATATGTTTATTTTGTTGGCTTACTTGTTGCTTTTGTTTGCTGATTTCATCCTTTTGTTGGCTTATATGCTTTATTTGCTGGCTAATATGTTCCTTCTGTTGGCCGATATTTTCATTTGTTGGCTGATATGTTCCTTGTATTGACTAATACGTTTTTATTAAAGTTTGTTATGTCCCGTAGGCTTATATGTATATGTTGTTGGTTGATATACACATATGATATCACATTCAGTTATAAAAGATATCATCCAACTTATAGATGATATCATCTAACTTAGTTTTTCGATCTAATTTCCGCAAATTTTTTAATTTCTACTAGTTATAATTAATTCATGTATTAATTATTCTTCTCTAATTTCTTGTTTTCCTCACCGAATTCATGCACAACCAATAGTGCTCTAGTTCTTCTTTTTGACTTTTATCAATTGCATTTACCTCACTAAGCTGCGCATTTCGAGAACTCATAAGTTCGACCACCAATCAGCCATGGCCAAGGACTCCGATCAACACTCCACCATCAGCAGCCTGCAAGATCCATTTTTCGACACTCCACCACCACCTCCTCCACCATCGGCACACCACCCATCGGCATCGTCGTCGTCATCATCGTCATCTTCTCCGTTGAACGAAATTTAGTTTGTGAATAATCTAATATTTAACATGAGAAATCTATTATTTGACATGAGAAATCTAATATCTGACATTAATAATCTAATAATCAAATGTTAGATATTAAATTATTAATGTCAAATATATTGAAATCACCGTAAGTCCGACTCGCCCAATTTTTTTTCGAATTTTTACTACCATCCTTTTGTTTATTATATCTACACATAAATTCTAATTAGCTCGTTTATTTATTAGAGTGTGTTCTATTTCAGTGATATCTATTAACTATTACTAAAACAGAGTATGCTGACGTCACCACTACCTACATATCACTCTCTTAATAAAAAAAAATCCCGCCTAAGTGCTAGGATGATGTCATCTTTTTTTTTTTTTTGGAGAGCTATCATATTTAGCATTTTTGAAATTTAAATATTGGAAGCTTTTACATTACTACTGAAACCTATCACTTTATCCCAGGAAATTGAAATAATTTTCAACATTATACTCATAAATTGCCTCATACATTGAAATATGTATTAGGTGACGTTGAACTGATTCTATATCATAATTTTGATGAAAATCTAAAATTTTAAAATTACTCATTTTTTTTCGTACAAGATGCATAGTTCTTATATGGATTTTATATAAACCGTGCATTGCACGGGTTCTAACCTAGTTCACCTAATAAAAATAAGTTTTGTGGCTAAGTTAAATTAAATTCGAGACCAATTATGTGTAAATATGCAATGAATTAGGAATTTAGGATTAATTAGATATAATCGGTTAACTTCAAATAAATCCAAAAAATTAGAAAACACTCTTACTTTCTCTAATTTCTAAATGAAACACTAGCTTTAATTTGTACAAAGCTAATACGGAATATAATTCATAATTACGTGAGGCCTTGTTAAATTCTCTACAATACAATTCTTTGCAATTTATATATTCAAGACATTAATATTTACGAGTACTAATATAAAGTAATAAAGATATTATTGGTTGGAGTTATGCATTAATAAGTGTGAAAATAAAAGGGATTTATCTATAAAAACATACATAGTAGGAGGAAGTATTACAAAAGAAAATGTCATAAAACAAATCTAGAGGAGTACTCATAATTTCATAAAGCGAAGTATTGTTGATACACATAAACCAAATAAGTAAGTTATGTATTTTTGGTAATACGTAGCTTGTGAGTTGTGATATACGGAGTTGTCCTTTTTTAATTTTTTTTAATTTTTTTATTTTACTCACTTGCATTTTACACGGTCTCTAATACACTTTAAAACGATTTTAATAAGAATATATATATATATCAAGCATGGGAAGAAATTCATTAATGTTTTGGCTTTGTTAATTAATCTATCAAGTCATAGTGTTTTGGTGTGTGAAACTGTTGATGACCAATTGCGGTATGAATATGCAGGATGATGCCTCTGTTTCATGGATTTTCAGCAACATTGCAAGCTATAATTAATATAGTTATCTTATCTTTGTATATAGTGACATTTATGTAAATGTGGTCAAAATTGATATAGTTACCCTATTTTTGTATATAGTGACTTCTATGAGAATATGATCAAAATTGATATAGTTACCCTATTTTTGTATATAGTGACCTTGATGTAAATGTTGTAAAAATTGATATAGTTACCCTATTTTTGTATATAGTTACGTTATAATTATATATAGTGACTCTACATTATTTTTTTTTCTAAACCGTTAGATCTTGTTAGTAATAATGGATGGTTGAGATTTTCTATTTTTAGTTTTCACTATAAGCTCTATTTTCAGCGAAATCTCCCCGTATATATAACTAAAATACAGTCAAATTTCTTTAGTTTGACACCGTAAATAATAAATGAGTAGAACATGTATAGTGGTTATATTTTAATGCAGTATATAGGATAGTATAAAAACCAAACACAAACACAAAAGAATAAAACCCCAAACACATACAGTTACTTGCATCACGTGAAATCCACCAAAGCCCAGTTTTTGTTCTCTAATGATCCATATACGTAGTGCTCGTATTAGTGTATTACACACTAATTAATTACACACTAATTAATTATTGAACAAAATAAGACTACAATAGGTCAATTACGCACTAATTATTATATAACAATTTAACACAAACCATTTATTAATTAGTTATGAAAGTTAGAATGAAGGAAAATATTTTTGTATTAAAAGATTACAAGGAGTACACAGAGAATATTATATATACATGCAAGCAAATCATATCCTTGATATGATTCTATTTTATAAAAAGATAACAAACTATAAACTAAGAAAGAATATTAACGTAATCACCTAAGAATGTTAGCATGATAAATAAAGAAGACGCAAAATATTACCTAAGAATATTAATGTAATCACCTAAGTTGACCAAGTATATGAATTTATTTTTATCACCTCGATCTCTAAATGTTTATCTCATTTGGTATATTCATGTTTTCCAATGAAATATTGTAATCATAATTATTCAAATTACGTGTTACAAAAATATATAAATTGCAAATAATTTAGTAATCAAAACGAAGCTAAATAGCTAACAAGATATCACAAGACTATATTTTACCTTAAAAGTTTTTTTTTTATTATTATATTTTCATTGGAATCTCTCAAGATTCTAAATGGGACAAGCAAAAGAAAATGGAGTCATAGTTAATTACACACTTACTCCCACCATTTATTGAATAAATATACCACATGGATTCCACTTGATCATATAAAATTTCTCTCCTTTTTTTTTTTTCTTTTTCTTTCCAATTTCCACCATATATTGCTTACAATACTATGCTCTTGAGCTTCTCTCTAGTCCTTTGAATTAGGACTATCTATAACATTCATTCAAATATTTGCAGCAAACATACAAAAAAGGCCTGAAAAATTAGAGAGGGAAAATCATGCCCTACTCTTTTCTTGCAGCAAGTAAGTTCTCATTGATTATATTTATTGCTCTTTTAAGTTGTGTTATTTTGTGGTGATCAAACTGAGTAATTTTGCCGAATGCATTGAATTGCTTCCTTTTATTATGTTATAACTATGGCAAGGCCAGACGTTTGTATTGAAGTAAATTTCCCTTCATCTCTAAAAGTTCTTATTTTAACTGTTTTTGTAACACAATCACTGTTTAATAATTATTTTTAAAAAAAAAACTTTATACGAAGTAATATTCAAAATAATTGTAGAACAGTTGCTTTTGGATCCATGCTTTCCCTCTAATGGTAAAGGGTCTTTAAGTAAAGCTTTAAAGCGCTGATTAAGAAGCCAAACACTGAAATATAGATAATGAATTAACACGAACATCCTGCTTGATTGATAATGTGGCCAAAAAACTGTATTATGATATGTATGTAAGGGTGCTTGTACATAAAAAAAATATATACAGTACGGTTAAAACATTATATTAATATCCATAAAAGGTTAGACTTCATCTCAAGCTACATTGTTCAAAGTTGGGAGGACTTCTCTTCATATAATTGGATTCGCGCTACCTGATGGAGTAACTCCCTTCATCTGAAACACCTTAATGCGAATGGTTACATGTATTTTCGATAGCCTGAAATAAACAAAAATTGATCTTAATATGGTAATCTAGGAGTAATTGGGTAAATGAAATGGAAAAGAAGGAACAAACGTAATTAAGAGGAACAAAAGCAATACTTATCTGAAACACCATAATGCGAATGGTTACATGTATTTTCGATAGCCTGAAATAAACAAAAATTGATCTTAATATGGTAATCTAGGAGTAATTGGGTAAATGAAATGGAAAAGAAGGAACAAACGTAACTAAGAGGAAAAAAAGCAATACTTATCAAAACTAATTCTAGTAGCACACTAAAGATTTGATAAGTTTTCCTACTAAAAGTAGTTCTAGGTACAATATACAAGTATAACATAGCGTCAGTACAGTTTATTATCACTTATCAAGTTAGATGCAAATAAGCATCTTTTGCATCATTATTATGGAGTACTATCTTTTATAAACACTTTAACCACTGCTTGCAACATAGGCAATATATCATACGTATAGAAAATGGCAAAACTTCAAAAAAAGATATCAGAGGAATGATAAAATAAATCCCTCATTTGGCAATTAATTGTCACGTTGATAGTGTTTCTGATTGTGTAAGGTGAACTACAACCTAATTAACAACTACTTCTGGACAGAGGTTGTCATTTTAAGCATCATTGTTTGGCAATTGATGTAAGTTTGGTGACAAATTTTATAGCTGTATTGCCTGTTGGATCAACAGTTGACACAAGTAATTCCTTGGAGATGAGGTGATAATAGGTGCTCAGCTTGTGGTTTCGTCGGGGTAGAAATTTCTGTTCAAGTTGAATGGTAGAGGCCGGATAAAAAAACATTAAAGTTATGTGATAATATGAAATGGAGGGAGTATTAAGGCATAATACAAAATTCAATGCCTTAATATGTAGGTATATACAGTATATACTAAGGGGCCGTTTGGTTCGCGCGGGGGAATCGGAATGGAATGAACAAAGGGAATGTAGGAGAATGGAATGAAACCCTTTCCAAGTACTGTGTTGTTTGGTTTTCAATAAACAAAGGGAATCACCATCACCACCACACATCCCCTTTCTTCACTTTTCCAGCCACCAGGAGCCACCCCATCGCCCAGCCACAACGTCGACGGAAATCGGCAGCCCTGGGCGCACCTCCCCCACCCCTCGCAGCCCCTAACCTCCCCGGAAAAAACTTCCACCACCACGCAAAAACCCTAGAAAACACCATCCCTCCCCTTAAAAACGCCGGCCAACCTTCCCCCGCCCTCGAAACCCTAGCCGCTAGGGTTTCGAGGGTGGGGGGAAGGTCGGCCGGCGTTTTTAAGGGGAGGGATGGTGTTTTCTAGGGTTTTTGCTTGGTGGTGGAAGTTTTTCCGGGGAGGGGAGGTGTTTTCGAGGGGAGAGGTGGGGGAGGTGCGCGGGCTCCGGCGAGTTGTGGGGGAAGTGCGGCGAGTCCGGCGGTGGGGACTAGGTCCGTGGCGAGGTGGTTGGGCTAGTTCCGGCAAGTACAATGGTGGTGGGTATGGTGGCTAGGGAAAGGGAATGGGAAAGTCTGGGGGGGTGGGGAATCAATGTAGACTAAAAATGGGTGAACTCAAAAATAAAAATGGGTAAAGGGAATCAAAAAAGTGTCAAACAAACAACAACAAAGGGAATGATATCAGTTCATTCCGATTCCCTTTGATTATTAACCCCAACCAAACGGCCCCTAAGTATATCATAGTCAATTGACCTTCTCTTTTTCAAAATTTAAGTACTCGCATCACAGTCTAAAATGTCCTAAATTATGTAACAGGGGGAGCACAAAGTTACTAACTCACAGGCATTTATACTGCTTTTCAGAGTATAATTCTCAAGCATAATCAATGAATTGTTTTTGTTTTGTATGACAGAGTTAAAGCTCTTGAAACCAACAGCATGGGAACAGCTGAAGTCTCCCTGCTTGTGGGAAGAGAGCAGCATATTTTTGCTGCTGGGTTTCTATGGGATTCTACTGTTATACTTCATCAGAAAAAAGGGAAATGCAGTACACATGAACACTACAAAAGAAACAGAAAAGGATGCAGAAATGTACCCTGATAATGCAAGATTAAGCCTTTGCTCGAAAGCTAGCATTGTTTCTTCCACTTTGCTCTTGGTTTTGCACTTGGCTTCTTTAATCTTGTTGGTAAAAGGAAACAAGACTCCGTGCAGTCACTATCTTCCTGGTCTCTCAGCTGAAATTATGCAGGTTATATCATGGATAATCGCAATAATTGTATTGTGCAGGATTTTAACCAAGAATTACCTCATTTTTCCCGGAATTCTAAGATTCTGGTGGGTTTGCAGTTTCTTGATCTCAGCTTGTCATATTGCCATTGATTTCAATTTTATAATGGACAATCATGGGCAGCTTAGGATCCAAGAGTATGCAGATTTTCTCCGTTTTTTTGCATCAGTCAGCCTGTTGGTAATTTCCATTCAAGGGAAGATGAAAATAGCGCATGACAATGCAAGAAGCAATTTGACTGAACCACTTCTCAATGGAGAAACTGGAAAAAAATTTGAAGGAAAAGGCGAGTCACTTTACAGCAAAGCAACTCTTCTTGATCTTGTTACTTTCTCATGGCTCAATCCATTGTTTGTCATTGGGAAAAAGAAGCCACTTGAGCAGGATGAGATCCCAGATGTTGATGTGAAAGACTCTGCTGCCTTTCTCTCGCATTGCTTCGATGAAAACCTAAAACAAGCCAAAGAGGAAGAAGGAATCACAAATAGCACATCAGTGTATAAGGCAATTTTCCGATTAGCATGGAAAAAAGCAGCTGTAAATGCCTTATTTGCGATAATAAGTGCGTTTTCTTCATATGTTGGTCCATACCTAATCAACGATTTTGTGGTTTTCCTCAGTGACAAGAAACACAGCAGCCTTAAAACTGGCTATCTCCTTGCTCTAGGCTTTCTTGGGGCCAAAGTGGTGGAGACAATATCACAAAGGCAATGGATCTTTGGGGCTCGTCAACTAGGGCTTCAACTTAGAAATGCTTTGATAACTCAGATATACCAAAAGGGCTTAGTCTTGTCATGTCAAGCAAGACAGAGTCACACCAGTGGAGAGATAATCAACTACATGAGTGTTGACGTACAAAGAATCGCAGATTTTGCATGGCATGTAAACACAATATGGATGTTACCGGTACAAATATCGTTAGCCATCTATGTTCTGCATACAAGTCTAGGGTTGGGGTCATTTGCAGGATTAGCTGCGACTTTAGTTGTTATGTCTTGCAACATACCTCTAACAAAAACACAGAAAAAGTACCAGTTAAAGATCATGGATGCAAAAGATGCTCGGATGAAAGCCACTTCAGAAATCCTGTTTAACATAAAATCAATAAAACTTCAAGCATGGGACAATCAATTTCTTCATAAGCTAGAAAGCTTACGAAATATAGAGTCTTCTTGTATATGGAAGTCATTGCGACTAGGGGCGGTTGGAGCCTTCATTTTCTGGGGTTCACCTACCTTTATATCTATAATAACTTTTGGAGCTTGTCTTCTAATGGGAATTCCTCTCACAGCAGGTAGCGTTTTATCAGCATTAGCAACCTTTCGTATGTTGCAAGATCCCATATATAGTCTGCCTGACTTGCTCATTGTTGTAGCACAAGCTAAAGTATCGGCAGATAGGGTTTCTTCTTACCTCCAAGGAGAAGAAATTCAGCAAGCTGCAATCGAGCTTGTTTCAAAAGATAAAACACCCTATGCCATAGACTTAGAAGGGGGGAAATTCAGCTGGGATCCTACTTCAGGAACTCCCACCCTAGATAAAATAAACTTGCAGGTCACAAGGGGAAAGAAAGTAGCAATATGTGGAACTGTGGGATCAGGAAAATCCAGTTTGCTATCTGGCTTAATTGGAGAAATTCCTAAGATCTCCGGGACGGTGAAGATCAGTGGTTCCAAGGCTTATGTTCCTCAAACCCCGTGGATACTGTCAGGAAATATTAAAGAGAACATACTCTTTGGGAATCATTATGATGCAGCCAAGTATGACAGAACAGTCAAAGCATGTGCTTTATTAAAAGATTTTGAGCTTTTCCCACAAGGTGACTTAACAGATATCGGAGAAAGAGGTATTAATATGAGCGGAGGCCAGAAACAAAGGATACAAATCGCTCGTGCAGTATACCAGGATGCAGATATATATTTGCTTGACGACCCTTTTAGTGCAGTTGACGCACATACAGGCACACAACTTTTTCAGGTAAGCACTTGTAAGACTATAATGTCACATACTGTTTAACTCTTTGAGTCTTACGTAGGGATTACTTCATTCTCTTACAATGTTCTGATTTCCAATAAACAGGAATGTCTGATGGAGGTTCTCGGAGACAAGACAATATTTTATGTGACCCACCAAGTCGAATTTCTACCAGCAGCAGACCTCATTCTGGTACGCTATCACAGCAATGTTTTATGCACTATCTCAGCTAGATATATCAATTCATGAGGGAATTACTTATGAATAGGTGATGCAAGATGGAAGAATTGCAGAAGCAGGAAGTTTTAAGGAACTCTTGAAACAGAATATCGGGTTTGAAGTTCTGGTTGGAGCTCATAGTCAAGCTCTAGAATCTGTTCTTACTGTTGAAGGTGCTTCTGATAGAACTCAAAGCCCTTTACCACAAGATGGACATTCAAGTGCTGAACAAATTCAAACAAGGGATGAAGAAGAGGATAACCTTTCTCCAGAAATGAAAGAGAAGAGAGGGAGGTTGATACAGGATGAAGAAAGAAAGGTAGGAAGTATAGGGAAGGAAGTGTATTGGGCATATCTTACCACAGTGAAACATGGTATTTTGGTTCCGGTGATAATTTTAGCCCAGTCATCTTTTCAAGTGTTGCAAATAGCAAGTAATTACTGGATGGCATGGGCTTGTCCAACTTCAGGTGATGCTGCACCTATAGCTGAGATGGACTATGTCTTACTTGTGTATGCCCTTCTTTCTATTGTAAGCTCGTTTTTTGTCTTAGTACGGGCATCAGTATCAGCATACGCCGGCCTTTCTACTGCACAAAAACTCTTTGAGAATATGCTACACAGTGTATTCCGAGCTCCAATGTCATTTTTTGATTCAACTCCAACAGGAAGAATACTGAATAGGGTAAGAATTAATCTACATACTCTAAACAGTTGTGATTTCATAGCTGCAATACAATCACCTAAATATTTTTCATAAACAGTGCTAACATTTATCAAAGGATGAACCCTAGCGACATATTGGATACACACCTCCCACTTCTGTCAAACAGAAGGCACTCAAATCATTTGAGAAATACTTCCTGTGTTTATTTTTTTAAAGTGCACCATTTTCCTTTTTGGGAAATTGCATATTAATTGCACCATTTCCTTATTTGGTATGCTTTATTCACCTTTTTCTTGTGTTCACACACAAAATGCCCTAACTACCCTAGTTCACGTGATAACAACCATTATTACCCCTCCTTTTCTTTTTCTCATTAGTTTGTATCACATGGGCAAATTTAACATTCCCCCACCTATATCTCTTTTTCTTAAATCTTGTGCCTATACTAAATGGTGCGATTAAAAAAAAAAAACAGAGAAAGTATGTTTCTTTATCATTCAGATCAAGAATATTATTCTGAATACTCATGTTTACAAATAATTATACTGATACGAAAAAAAATTATAATATTAAATGAAATAAGCATTTTACTTGATCCATTTCCACCTTCTGTGTTATGAAATTCAACTAAGAGATTAATGTTCAAACACAATCAAGGGCAATTGTATATCAAAAAGAAAAAACGCAATTATATGTTAAATATAAAACTTACTTTCATATGCAGGCATCATCTGACCAAAGTGTATTGGACTTGGAAATGGCACAAAGATTGTTTTCGGCAGCTTTCTCAATGATCCAGCTCCTTGGCACCATTGCAGTCATGTCACAGGTTGCATGGGAGGTCTTTCTCATCTTCATTCCAGTAACAGCAATCTGCATATGGTATAAGGTAAGCAATGCTTAAAACCTAATACAGAATATTTACAAAGATGATCTTAAGAAGATGATTACAATCATGAATGTAATGATATTTCGTGCAGCAATACTACATACCAACTGCAAGGGAGTTAGCACGATTATCTGAAATACAGAAGGCTCCAATCCTACATCATTTTGGAGAATCACTTTCAGGGGCAGCAACCATACGTGCATTTGACCATAAGGAGCGATTTATTAATGCAAACCTCGTATTAGTGGATGGATATACAAGAGCATGGTTTCACAATGTATCAGCAATGGAGTGGCTTTCATTCAGACTCAATCAATTATCTAACTTTGTGTTTGCATTTTCGTTGGTTCTGCTAGTGTCTCTTCCAGATGGAATTATAAATCCAAGTAAGCATTCTTGATCAATCTGATAAGCAAATCTAGGATGAATACAAAATTTGCATTGTCCGCTGATTAAGACTTTTTTTATATGCATGGCAATATAACATACTAGGAAAAAGCCTCTAGGAAGCTTTACCTGAGATCTCAATCTGAAACTCGTTCAATTTACCAGTGTGCTTCCGCTTTACCAAATTAATTAGAAATTGGGAATTGACAAATAAGATCTACTTTAACTGTTTGTTAAAAATAACAACATCCTATACAGCTAACTACATGAGGTACACCAAATTATTATTGAAGAAAAGCTAATGTGTTTTGGAATCTTTTGCAGGCATTGCAGGTCTGGCAGTGACATATGGAATAAATTTGAATGTTATGCAAGCTTCAGTCATATGGAATATATGCAATGTGGAAAATAAGATGATTTCAGTGGAAAGGGTTCTTCAGTACACAGAGCTTAATAGTGAGGCACCTCTGATCATTGACGATTGCAGACCACCAAACAACTGGCCAACTACTGGAACAATCACTTTCCAGAATTTACAGGTAAGCTGCAGCAGGTTTGATTAAGTAGCTAAAAGTCTAAATTTCCTCTGCCCCACAAAAACTTGTATGGTTTCTAATTGAATGTCCCAGAATACAAATTGCACTTTCTATCTATGGCATTTTCTCTCTAGCTGCTTGTTCTTAGTACGAGTACTATTTATTTCTCAAGTCACTTTCTCTTAGTTTTTTTTTCTCTACCCACCCACTCTAGCTTAAAGCCAGCACTTTACAATTTACTTTGATAATAATGTCAAGCCCAATTTCATGATGCTGCAGATACGTTATGCTGAACATCTTCCCTCTGTCCTGAAAAACATAACATGCACATTACCTGGGAAGAAGAAGATTGGTGTGGTAGGAAGGACAGGCAGCGGAAAATCAACACTAATACAAGCTTTATTCCGCATTGTGGAGCCAACGGAAGGGAGCATTATAATTGATGATGTAGATATCTGCAAGATAGGTCTTCATGACTTGAGATCAAGGCTCAGCATCATTCCACAGGATCCAACAATGTTTGATGGTACAGTTCGAATAAACCTTGACCCACTCCAACAGCATTCCGACAATGATATATGGGAGGTAATATAATTTAATAAATTGCTTTATCGTTTTGTTTTCATAGGTAAATATGAAAACTAATCAGTAAAACCCCGTTCTGCAATTCTAAGGCACTAGACAAATGCCAACTAGGAGACCTTGTACGGGCTAAGGAAGGAAGATTGGACTCCACAGGTGAAAACATCAAACTTTTTCAGAAAAATGGAGTTAAATATTGTTTTTGCTAAAAAATCTAACTTATTGTATGTGATATTCAGTGATTGAAAATGGTGAAAATTGGAGTGTTGGACAGAGACAATTGTTCTGCTTAGGAAGGGCACTACTAAAGCACAGTAGTATCTTGATTTTAGATGAAGCAACTGCATCAGTCGATTCTGCTACTGATGGTGTAATTCAGAAAATTATCAACCAAGAATTCATAGAACAAACAATTGTCACAGTAGCTCATAGAATACACACAGTTGTTGATAGTGATTTAGTCCTTGTCCTCAGTGATGGTATTTTTCAAGGCCCCTTTTTTAAAAATTTATTTTTGACATCAGATTTTTTTGAAATTCTTTGAGGCTAAAAATACCAAGATAATTAAAGAAAGTTTGTTTTGGCAAAAACAGGAAGGATTGCAGAATATGATTCACCATCAAAGCTCCTAGAGAGAGAAGATTCATTTTTCTCACGCTTGGTTAGGGACTATACAAGATCACAGACTTTCAACAACTGAGCAGAACTTTAAGGCTGAAACCATGAAGTAAATCATCATAATTCATAAGCGACGAAGTTAACGACAAATCTAGCAAGATACTGAGACCAAAGGGCAACCTAAGGAAAACAAGACTGCTAAGACAATCGTTCAATACAACAATCTCTCAGGGTTCACCATCCTTGCATCTCTGGGCACTAGCGTGTTCATCCGTAGTATGATGGTAGGTCGGTAGCAAGAGAAGTGATGCATCATATGTGCCTCCCTCGACGTGCTTAACTACCCTTATATAGCATTCCTAGAAAATTGTACTAAGATACACTCTAAGAGCCTCTATGTAAGAGCTCGCGCTTTCGACTAAGCTTTCCAGTCACTTAACTATGTAGGGTTACACTGTTAAACCTCATAACATACTAGCATATCATATAATCAAGCAACTTGCATCTTAGATATATTAACAATGAGCCATTTTAGCAAACATTGAATTAATCAAATTAGCATGAAAATTTTAGGTTCTCTTCCTTATCTTTCGAAATTAATTGATTTACGGGAAGGGGGGTAACGAAACTCGAACCCGCTACCGGGGGATTAATGGGGGCAATGCTCTCAACCAATTAGCTGCCCAAGTGCCCTCCTAAACCTCATCCTAAACAATCTCATGAATATATAATTCAAACTCAAACCAGAGAACATATACGCAACAGCAATTAACCAAAGTATAAAATTGAAGAACTAATAATTCAGTGAAAGAGCAGGGGTCATAATTTGGATAACAATTAGTTGCTTCAACTGGACATACATAAATCATAATACAAGAAAATGGAATGCTACCCAAAGAATTATATATGAATGAAATTATGAAGCGAATTTGTTTAATTGTAATAAATTGGTAACTTTTACCTTCAAAAAATTGGTCTGATAATTGAGGAAAACCAGCGGGCTTCTGGGGTTTGGGGTCGTGACTTACTGACTGGGGAGGAAGATGAGTTCTTGTGATGGCAAATGGCAATAAGAAAGGAAAATGTCATTTTTAGCATATGACAATGGATTAACAGTTGGTTTTGCCGTTTTGGTTCACTTGACCTTTTAATATCTTTCCAAATTACTTCCTTCATGTTTTGTATTAGATGCGTCAATTTCCCTTCTTAATTAATTCTCTCTCCTATCACATGGGTTAGAAGTCCGCAATTACAAAAGTGATACAACTAAATAAAAACGAAGGAATTAATTGATTTATTAGACTTTTCAATGGGAAAGAAAAATCAATTTGCCCCTATACACGAAAACTAGTTGAATAAGCCAATAAGATGATAAGTTATTCCGAGAAAACCTAATTCAAAATGAGAGAGCACTATTAAAACTAATTCTAATTCAATTTTGGCAACACACAACTCTCCTTTGCCTAATTGAGTAAACTTTCATGTAATTCTTCACGAGGGTGTGAGACAGACTATCATGATTTGACGATTTGTACATCGTTGCATGTATTGTGGCCCTTTAAGACAATTTTGAACCTACTAACATACGATAGTCAAATCTATGACTCTAACAAGAATGCCCTAGTCAAACTGTTAATTTTTCATTACAAGCCATACGACTCATACCTGAACCCTCATGATTTTTTTAGCTTAATATTTGCGGGTCAAATACTTGAAAGTAGAGGGTGAGGTTAGAGGATTCCTCCCTTTCAGTATTCTCAGTTTCGAAACATAAACCCCTCGAAAATTAAAGGTAAATTTTTTACAAGCCGAGCTTTGCTTGGACGTAAGATCTCAATATGTCTGGAGTGCAAGTAATCAAGTATATCCCGCTACGGCTCTACCGAAACAAACTACGATGGGATGAGCCCTATAAGGGCTATAACCAAAAACAAATTAGATGCAGCAGAATGAGTAATAGCAGTTGACGAGTGGAGTGAGAAAGAATGGTGGGTGCATTTCAAATGCCAAGAATAATGCTTGTAGCGATATCAGCTTCTTCTTCTTCAAGTTCAACATCTGGAAACTCAGACGATTTTCTTCTTCGAAAATCACAATCTAGCTCTGCAAACCCCCATCTTCTTTCCATCCCCAAACCTTCCCTCATCGTCCGCACCCAGGTCAACCCCTTTTCACTCTCTATCTGTTTTCTGGGTTCATTTCAGTTTGTATTTTATGCAGTTTACTCAATTTTAGATTTGAAGTTTCTTGATTCGTGTAATATTTTCTGAATGAACATGATGTTGTTAATTGATAATCTTAACAGAATTAATATTTAATTTCTGGGTTTTGGACCCTTCGTTAGATTTTCCCATTTTTTTAAAAAAATAATAATAAAATTGTACCATATTAATATACCCAGTTGAAATGCAATTGATGAGACTAACTTAGACTATATTGTTGATTTTGTATTTGATATTGGATGAATTGAATTAGTATGAGCTTTTTTTGGTTCTAATTGGCTGTGGATAGATAAATTAATCATGGAATTGACTGAGAAAACCCCTGTTGTTGTTTCGCAGTCGAATGTTCGGATAGAGAAAAGAAGAAAACCGGAGCCGTCGTGTGTTGTTTGTGGTGGAAGTGGAAGAGTTGGTTGTAATCAATGTCATGGAAGAGGTACCTTACATTTCTCTCATGAGTGGCCTATGATTGTAGCATGCTCCTTTTGCCCAGAGTTAATTGTAATGTTAATAGTGTAATTTGAATCATTGATTTGCGACTATATCTGGATGGATGTAATACATTAGTTTAAGATTGTTATGCTGTTGAAACTTGAAAGAGAGAGAACAAGACTTAAGATGAAAAGAACACTAAGTTTTAGTCAATATGAAGATAATATCATAGAACAATCAGAACATCATCATCTAGAGCTGAATAAGCATTAAATTGTTCAGCATTGTCAGTAGCTAGAATCTTAGAAGCAGAAATTTCGGGCCGCTGGATGTACATAGATAGATTAGAACACGAATTCTTATAACAGCTGACAAGTAACTCTTTTTTGGTAAACACTAGTATAAACTTTCACTCAATAGCAATATAGAAGCACTTATGATACTCTGTAGCCTTTTGCCTCGCTTGCTGTTATTGATAAATGGTAAGCATATTTCCTGATTTCTGGGCATTTGATAAGGCTGTGGCTAGGCAGTACCGTACTACAATGCCTGCTTAGAATAGTCGAATTTTACATCTTTTTGCCGTTTCGTGGTAAGAAAAGAATGGTGCGCAGGTAATGAGACTTTGTTCTTGTCAGCTAGAAAAATTTAGTCCTCGTCAGGGCTACCCAAGCTCAATATGTAGCTTAGATATTTCAAAGTACTTTTTAAAGTTAAACACAGCCAAAAAAACTCATTTCATGTGACTGGTGCAAAAATTTGCTGTCTGGTATGTCAGAGTAACATGTTTGTGTTCGTGATTGATATAATTTTAGATCTTAGGAGTATTAAGTTTGGTACCAATCTACTCCATATTCTTACTGTGATAAAACAAATTGCTCCATAGAACTCCAATTCAAGAAACGCTATATTATCTTACTATTTTTGAGCATTAGCTTAGACTTGTTGTCAATTAGGTAGAAGATTAAGCTTCTTGGAGATTATTGTTAAATGAGATAATATGCCAGGTATCAATTTTGTAAGATGGGTTGAGGCTAAAATTTGGTATGAGCCTTACTAAAAGCTGCTAAAGCCATTACTTCATTCATTTTGTAGGTATATTGCCAGAATAATGGTTATTGGCTAACGAACTAATTTTCGTTTGATGTACAGGCAGGACAAACTTCACTGATTTAATCATGCTTCCAAAAGGGGAATGGCCAAATTGGTGAGCTGCCTTACTCTTCCCATTCCTGTAGATCAGATCATCTCCTTGACATTTCCTTGCAATGATTGATTTGAAGAAAAAAGAGTGTCTTTTTATAGGTGCAAGACATGTGGTGGCAGTGGGCTTGGATACTGCTCTCGTTGCCTTGGAACGGGAAAATACAGGGATGTAATGGGCTTTCACTTCTTGAAAAGGGAATCTAACCACCCTCTGAAGCCTACAAAGCATCAGACTGATGGAAACGCTGAGCATCTAACTGCTGCAGATTTGCGTTTTTCACATACACCCTCAGAAGCAGAATAGTAATATAGTGTAAATTGCTCTATTTGTTCGGGTGGTAATCTCAGCTGTACATATATATACGGAGCTCATTGTTTTAAATCAAAAACTTTCTTAATGCTTGTCATCTGAGAGCAATATATACATCTTGTGTATTTTTTGTTCTCATTCAGGGTAATTTAAGCAATACTCCATAGACACCAACAGTCCTTATAAACATGCTCAAAGTAATTTAAGCATTATACAATTGTTGTGCACTTTGTGTAAGTTGTTTTTGAATCTTTGTGATCTTATAACTTAAAGACAAAGTACAACTGTTGGGAAGAGGACATGATCAATAGAACTCGGCTGGTTCTGGGCTGGGACTTTTTTTCATACTCTATGGCCACATTTTCTTACAAGGTTATCTTAGTACGAACTACGAAGTACATCCTTTTGGATGAAAGAGGAGAAGACTTTTACAAGAATTGAACAAATAAGTCATGCCAAGATTCACCATAAAAATCTGTTGCCTAATTTGCCTCTTGAAAGCAGTGATTAAAAGACTTTGAAAGTTTGAAACGGAAAGAAATAGGACACCTATTTGCATATATCAATATTGATGTTGTGAATTGACCTAAAAATATATTATCGTCATTTAATGAATGAGCATCTTTCCATTGAGTGAAAATTATGTTAAAATACAAAAGAAGATTTTTATTTTTTTTTATTTTTGCTCTAACAGACTCACAAAATAATTTTTATTACAGAATTGTTACTCGATAAAACCGAATACAATCGAGAATAACTTTTTTCCTTCCACTTTAGGATAATTTCATTTAGGATAACAATCAAAGATTTGCCTCTTACCATTTTTTCCTTTTTTTTTTTTTAGCAAATTATTACCTCCCAATCCAAAGTCGCAGAAAAAAATTGACTTCATTTTTTCCCACGTTAAACCCTACTCCTCTCTCCTTTCTCTCTCTAAACACAACAATGGCGTCTTTACTAAGGTGCCCATGTCCTACAACTTCCTCTTCTTTCCTCCCTCTCTCACAAACCCCTTCAATACCCTTCTTTAATTCATCTTCTCCAAAATTCCCAGCTCGAAACTCCATTGTAATTCTTCATTTCTTTCCATTTTCTTTCATTTTTGAATCATTTCTTCTGCTTTCTTGAATTTATCTGTAATTTAATTTCTGGGTTTTGATTGTTGTTTACAGAAATGTGATTTGGCTGAGCAATTGAGAGTGGTGGAGAATGGGAAACCCTCTTCTTCCCTCTATTCCCGTACTTCTGGAGTGGAGCAGCAATCATACCCTTCTTTTATGGCTTCTACCAATTTGGATAGTACTTTCAATCGGAATGATACGCGGCTTCGGATTTTCTCCGGTACCGCGAATCCTGCTCTTGCTCAGGTAATTTGGTTCCATTTCCCTTCTAGCTTAATTCAAGAATGATGATGCTGAATTAATATTTGGGTTTTATGAATTGGGTTTGGGTTTATATCTTAAATTAGACTGCGAATGATGTTGAATGAATATTTGCTTTGTGTATGTAATACTCCCTTTTCCTACTATTTAATATCTCTTATTAAAATTTCTGTGGTCTATAAGATGTTTAGGATCAATGTTTGATTATTCCTAGCTTATATTGTTTAATGTTAGTTGATACGATTAAAAGCATATATTCAGAAAGTTATTCATAAAGTTGAACTGAGCGAGTATATTGCTTAATCGAACTTAGTTTTTCACTGATTGCTATCGATCAAGTCTATACATTTCGATTTTCCGATTGAGGGGGTTAATTTGTTTGATTTCTTGGTTTGTAAGTGTGTGTTGGTTTGAATATAGCTGTGCCAATCTTTATAAACAACTGGATTAAATATACTTTAGTTTTAGATTTTTGCTCTCATTTGTTCAAGTAGAGGATTTTCAAGGCTGGGGGAGCAGATGGTGAAAATCTGATTCAAGGATACATGATGTTAATAATGAATAAAATTTTATAGAACTTGGATTATTTGGCTTTGTTTTGGTTGACTGGAAGTTCTTTGTCAAGAAAATTATGCTAAAATGTGTTTAATGAAATGCTGAAATTTAAAGCAAAACACACTAATCTACACTGGTCTACCAAGGAGAATGATATAGGTATTCGTTTCCAAGAACAACTTACTTTTTAATTCCCTTAACAGTGAAGGGTTAGTCTACTGGTCAGGAATCAGGATTGCTCGAGGGTTAGGCTGCATACATATAAGCCCCTCTCCCGATCTGTTATAGGATTTTTTTTTTTTACCAAATTAGTCTCAGTATGTTATGAACAGAATGCCCTTTTCTTCCTTTTGTTTTATATGTGTACTCAGCTGCCTCCTATATATCATTTTGTTTCCATATTTTATGATTTTGAAGCACTTGATGACAGACTGTTGTGCTCAACAGGAAATTGCATGTTACATGGGTCTCCAGCTTGGGAAAATAAAAATTAAACGTTTTGCTGATGGTGAGATTTATGTTCAACTGCAAGAGAGTGTCAGAGGTTGTGACGTCTTTCTTGTTCAACCCACATGTCCACCTGCTAATGAGAATCTTATGGAACTTTTGATAATGATTGATGCTTGCCGAAGAGCATCAGCCAAAAATATCACTGCAGTTATACCTTATTTTGGATATGCTAGGGCTGATCGAAAGGTAAGTTGCCTAATCTGATGAGCATTAGTTTTAGTGTTTTGAGGGTATTGGACTTCTACGCTGGTTAGAAATACATCCTTGTTTATTGGACTAAGAGGACCATAAACTTAGTTAACCTTATGGAACAAAGGGCAGCTCTTATAATGAACAGTCGAAAAGCATCTCATATATTTGAAAAAGAAAAAAAGGGATCTGTCTTTTTCCTGTAATGTTAAGATTAGATATTTGTAAATGTGGTTCATGTCCTTCTCATCTCAAAATTATTGTTCTCACACTGAGCTCTTGGTCTATGGTACGATTCTTGTTTCTGGTTGGATTATCGTCGAACTGCTGCTAATCATGATACTTAAAATTTCAGATCCATTCTGGCCTGATTAATTTTTGTAAGGAAAAACTGCTTTCTTGAGCCTTGAACTAATCCAAACTTATTAGATGTTCGAGAATGTCCTCCCATGATACTGCTTGCATTACATTACATGTCTACACTTTCTCTATTTCTGCTTGCATTACATTACATTTCTACACTTCTCTAATTCAGACTCAAGGACGTGAATCAATAGCAGCCAAACTTGTCGCCAACCTGATAACGGAAGCAGGTGCCAATCGAGTTCTTGCTTGTGATCTTCATTCTGGGCAGTCAATGGGCTATTTTGATATACCAGTAGATCATGTATATGGTCAGGTAAGATGTGTGTCTCTTTGAGTATTTTCTTCTTTTTCCCTTCCTGAGCTGCAGGAGGGAAGTGGGTGTATGTGAATTGGTCTAAAAGTTTGTTAGAGATCTGCTGTTTTTTTTTTTTTTTTTTGAAGGATTAGAGATCAGCTGTTTAGTAAAATGGCAGATCCCAAATTACTTTATTATTTTTAAAAGATATTACTTCATCCCAAATTTAACTTTCCACCTGAGGGGGATGTAGCTTAAGAAAATTTGTTACAGGTAAAATGAAAAACTTAGTAGTGGATCGTGATAAAATAGTTATATGGGAATTGAGAGAGTGAATAATGCTGTAGTTTTTTTTTTATTTTTGTGTGTGTGTGTGTAGAGGGAGGGAGGGGGGTGTTGGGGTGTCCTATAATGACATTGGGAGGTTAATTATAGGATGTAGGGATATAAGCATTACAATAAATGAATGAATCACAGATTTACCTCTCTTTAAAATTGGGGAGAATCCAAAACCAATAGAAAATTTGTCAGGAAAACATTATAAACACTAATTGCTTCTCTATTTCTGCTTTACCAGCCTGTGATTCTTGATTACCTGGCAAGCAAGACCATATGCTCGGATGACTTAGTTGTCGTTTCACCAGATGTTGGTGGAGTTGCCAGAGCTCGTGCTTTTGCAAAGAAATTATCTGATGCACCACTTGCCATAGTGGATAAGAGGCGCCATGGGCACAATGTTGCGGAGGTAAATCTTTGTGGCCATTATTTCTTCATCTGAACCTTGGGAAAAAAATATCTGTTTTTGTGAAAGGGTAATTAAGAGATGGAAATTTCAGTACTTCCATATTGTTGGTCTTGGGCTTAGTTGATTGACTCACTTTATTGGTACAACTAGAAAGCCTGTGAACAATTTGCAGTTGGAATAATGAATAGTAACGATGCAGTCACATTCTACTTCTGTTGACTCTGTATAATGCATCTACTTTGCCCCTCATAATATTCTAAAAGATTTGCAGGTAATGAATTTGATCGGTGATGTTAAGGGAAAAGTGGCTGTTATGGTGGATGATATGATAGACACAGCTGGTTAGTTCTTCTGTTTCTTGCAATTCTAATTCTTAGATCTTGGTAAGCAAAGACGCTGCATGATTTGTTTTTCTGTTGGCACTCTCTTATTGGGGCTTATGTGGACTGACCTCGCCTACTTAAACCTACTTAGACCTCCGCCATGTCAATCATAGAAATTGGCATTAGAGTTTGGAATTGATATTTTCCTCTTGATGTGGCTTATAGGTACAATTTCCAAAGGAGCAGCCCTCTTGCACCAAGAAGGAGCAAGGGAAGTCTATGCATGTAGTACACATGCTGTCTTCAGGTAAATGATAACTTATTTACTTTGTTTGTAAAACCATTGACAGGAATTACAACTTGTTTTTGATGGCTTAATCTATGTTACTGATATGTGGTATTTATGTATTTATATATGTTATTTTATGTTACTGATATGTGGGTTTTGAGTTCTTGATTGAGGCCTTAAAAATCTTTGTTGATTTCACGTGTGCAGCCCCCCTGCAATCGAGAGGTTATCCAGTGGTTTGTTTCAAGAAGTAATAATCACAAATACTATTCCCGTCTTGGAGAAAAATTACTTCCCTCAGCTTACGATATTGTCAGTTGCAAACCTTTTGGGCGAGACCATTTGGCGCGTACATGATGACTGTTCAGTGAGTAGTATATTTCAGTAAATTACTGTGTACATTGTTGTATATGTCTCATTATAGCAGCAGTAGCACAATATATTCACTTATTTTTTGTGATCACTATGGTGTCTTGTATTAAGTATACCTCGAGGCTGGTACTGATGTACTGTCTTGGACAATTTATGAATTCACCATGAAGATTGCTTACTGTTTGTAAAATTTTTCTGTTGCCTGTACATGCTGCAACGAATGATGCAAAAAACAATCTTTCTTGAATGTCGGCTTTCTGTTTTTTTTTTTTTTTTTTTTTTTTTTTTTCTATTTTTTGTTTAATATTGGTATAGCTTGTGAAAAAGATATCCTCTGCCTTTGCTCACTGGCCTTGGTTTTCAGGTCGGATTTGAACCTTACTCAAGCTTGGGGATTGATTAATGCGTTCTCGGATTAATAGTTGTCACCATCTTGCCACTCGAAGCTAATGTCATATGCCTACTGTATTGAAGCATTCTAGGGCTCCTCCTCTCTCGTGCTCTCCCTTCCATGTGCAGTTGTAAAGCTTGTAATACAATTGTGAGTACTCATTATCCATGTGATGGTAGAATAAGAAATAGATATCAGGAACTTCATAGAATTTACCTCTTCTCCCTGTTTTTTTGGGAGCTCACCCACGTATAACTGTAAGGCAATTACTTGGTTAGTACTTAGTATTGTGTTTGCATTTTGCCCGCTTACAGGTGCTCCTTGGAGTTTTGTATGTACAGATTATGTCTTTGGATTTTGTATAACTAAAGCAATTCTTTTTACTATGAGACAATGCATGTGTTCTAATTCAATTTGCTGCAGCATATTGTCGTGGCATTGTGCCGCATCGGTATAGCTTTAAAGACTGACTAGTACCTCAGTGTGTCAGTGATCTAAGAGTGTTTTAGCATCATTTAGTACGACACCAACAATACATAACCATTATTACATGCCAATGAGATGGAGTATAGTTTATCAGCCAGTCTAGGTTATTAAAAAAAAATGTATAATATGCTTGAAAGTTAATGTACATAAAAATCTACATGACTGCTGCAAAGTCTTAACAACCCATCCTAAATCTATGAACATATACGAGTAGATTATATTGAAATTTCGAACAACCTTCACCGTACGTTTGACCTCAATTATTCTTCTAAGACCGATTGATCACAAATACTTGTTGTCCAAACTGGTTTTAAGGCCAGCCTTTCTCTGCCACAAAAGGAAATAGGGGAAGAGAAGAAAAATAGAACAAATTAAACAGTAAAATTTTTAAAAAATAATTCTAGGTCAGGATACTCTCTCTATCTCTCTATCACCAGGTATAATTGTATAAACCTTGGTAAAGAATTTGCTATTGCACCACCATACGAGATCCAGCTACCGCATTGGTTCGCATACTATAAGTATGTGCTCCCTCTTGACGAACAAAATTGAACAGGGCACTAGTTACTATAGTACTATGTTGAAATGACAAGGTCTTTGAGCTGCTGAGGATCTACTTCAGAAGGCGCTCGCGTAAGGGCACACTGAGCGGTGGAGGTCTTAGGAAAAGCAATCACATCTCTGATAGAATTTGATCCAGCCAACAGCATCACTAGCCTATCTAGGCCATAGGCTATGCCTCCTGCATTTAATACAAGATATTCATAAAGTAATTTGAAGAAAACAAATAACCAGCAAGATGCAATTCATAGGAGGGCAAATGCAGAATTTAGCTTTAGTACTGTTAAAACAAGAATTGAATCTACATAATTTGAGGAAGTTATACAAACCATGTGGAGGAGCACCCATGTCAAAAGCCTCCAAAAGATAGCCAAATTTTGCTTCAGCCTGTGGACCATGAGAAATTTGATAAAGTTCTTGTTTAATTAACCTTAAAAATCACAAAGAAATATGCCTTTAATTGAAAAAATTATACTTGCATACAGCTTTTGAAATCAAATAAAAGTGAAATGTTTTCCCCCCTCTAGCAGAAAGAGACTAACCCTTTTACAAAGGAAAAACTAAGAACAGAGATTTATTCGGATGAATCGACAAACTCATGCTGAATTCAAAGAAATACTAGTAAAGAAGATCTACTGTTCCAATATAATACTTGTATCTACTGTTCCAACATGATACTTTGTAATATCAGAATAGTGGGTATGGATGTATAGTCATAATTCAATTGACCACGTTCAGGTACTTTTTCAATTGTTTGTTACGAATCTATCCATTTCAAAGAATTTGATAATAACACCACTCCAAGTAAAATAGAAAGAGTTGCTAGATTAGTTACATACTTCGATATTTGTATTTTGTTATTGCATTCCCAGTTTATAAATATGGGTGCCAACCTCAACTTCTTTCTGGACTTGATAGAAGCAGAACTATTTCTATTAAGGAAGCAGACCACGAGTACAGTTCACAATGGAATAACTTTACAGGATCAATCTTACAATGCAGAACAGAAAGACAATGATGATAATATATATTATAAACTTCCTAAAGGCCTCTGTGACAATTGACAACAGAATCAAAACCTAATGGGAGTCTTTTGAACAGATCTAAAATACAGAGTAGATATCATGATCAAATCTCGAAACAAAAGGAGCACCCACAAACAACTGAAAAAAAATTAATCACTGCAAGAAGTCCTTTAAAGATAGTTAAATCCAAATTAATAGCAGTGGCAAACACTTACCTGTTCTGATGAGATGCCTACAATTTCCAGAACCTTTTCTTGCACCTCTCGCTTATATATTCTTAAACTTCCTCCGCCAATCTGAAAAAATGAGGGAAAAAAACTCCTATCAGTGGTAAAGATAGCAGAAAGTATGTAATGATAGAATACAAAGTGCACCTCTACGCCATTGTAAACCATGTCATATGCCAAAGCTCGGGCAGAGGAAAGATCCTTCATGTCTTCAGGGTTTGGAGCAGTAAACGGATGATGCAAAGCCTGCAAACAAGTACATTCATGAGAACATATGCATCTGAAATAGCATGGAGCACAAAAAGACTAGTAAGATAGAAGGTGGTTCTTTTTTCTCCTCCATACCAGACAATCAACATCAAAGGTACTACCAGAGTGAAATGGTATTGAGCTTGTATGAAATAGTAGGAATATCACTCAGCAGGACCCCTTGAATTGATGTTAGTTGTCACACTTAGTTGTTTTTTGGGAACATAACCCATATTCCTCCCAAATGTTTAGCATTATCCATGCAGTTCCATTATGATATAAATTCTTTACAGGAAACAGCTAGAATCCAGGACACAGGATACCAGCTATGAAATAATCCGCAAAAGTATACACCAAGAACCTTCTTACTGAATGTATAATGATCATATTAACAATGTGACAACTGTTAAAGCTTTTAAATGTAATTGCCAGAAATGAAAAAAGTTAATCAAATGCCAAATGAAGAACTTGGATTGGAAGCCCTCGCCAAAATATCAGGAACTTGTCAAAAAAAGGTATGTAATTTTGTATGACCATAGTGCAGTTTGTATTATAACAAAGAAAGACCATCATTATTCTGAGCAGAATAGAAGAGAAATAAATATGATACTGCAACGAACCTCAAGCCTCTGTTCATCATCATTCCACTCGAACATCGGGAAATCAGTCACCCAAAGAATTGAATGCTTGGACTGAGGCGGAGAGATAAAGCAGGTGACGAACTGATATAGATGGACATCACAAAATCATAATGAGTAAAATAAAGCACAAAACTTACATGGTCAGCCATACCCAGTTCATGTGCCACATGTAACCTAAGTCGATCAAGAGTTTTGTTCACAGACTTCTCCATACCCACAGCAAACAAGATAAGGTCACCAGATTGAGCAGAGCAGAGGCTCAATAGTTTTTCTTTATTTTGTTGATTCAAACTTGATGCTAAAGAAGGAATTCCTTCAAGCTCCCCTGAAGAACCATAAAAATGTTAAAGTCTGAAGAGTGAATATATTCTGAATTCTTAATGTTAAATATGTAAACTATTAATAAAAACATATACGAACGTACCATCACTTGTGACCTTCAGGAAAGGCAAACCTTTAGCCCCAGATTTAAATGCTTCCTTATAGATATCACCCTTCTTCAGTGCTGTGTTAGAATAAACACTTGCAGCTGCGGGTACACATAATGCCTTTATCACACCTCCACTAGCCAATGCATCTCCAAAAACTTTGAATGTAGACCCAGAAAATACATCAGAGACCTACATTAAGAAAACCTTCAACTTAATCAACTTTTGTAATTAACTTACAATGAAGTGAATGGTATATCTGTGGATGACCAACAATATAATTCTAACGGAGTAGAAAATCTTACATCTCTTAGCTCAAGACCAAAACGAAGATCTGGTCTGTCTGTTCCATATCGATTCATTGCTTCAGCATAAGTAAGCCTGGGGAAAGGGTTGGAAAGCTCAATACCTTGGATTTCCCGGAAAACCTAAAGACAATAATAGCTCAGTCAAATGTCCTAGGAAGCTTTAACCTTCAAGAAACAATCAGATCATAAAGCAAGAAAAATGAAATCTTCAATTATTGTTGATGAGCACAATTTGCAAGAAGTAGCCTATTATTATTCACACCCAATCAAAATCCACTATCCCCCTTAATGGCCCTAAACCCCACAAAGAAAATTAAAAAATTAAAGCAAATCTAGTAAAACAAAAGAAACAACAAAGAAATATCTTAATATGCAATTGCAAAAAGGTTTCGCACAAACAAATGCAACACGTAAACAAATGGCAAAAGCACCATCTTCCCATTTCAAGAAGACTTACAGCTTTACAAGCTTTGTACTTCTACATGGCACCTTGAGAAAATTTGAGAGTAAAGATAAACATTTGGAGCATAAACCAACTTAGACATGAAGAGAACATGAAACATTTCACTCTGCCTATGAACAGAGAGTTTGAAAGATAATATACCCAGAATTTCTAGCGTAATCAACTTGCCTATATTCCTAAAAATAACTCCTAAACTACTTAACATTTACAGCTTTCCGAATCTAACATTTGAGGGTTTAGCATGAGTAGATGACATTATGACAGTATAGTAATAAGTGAGGAAAGAGAGAGAGAGCAATTTATTGATTTACAATGAAAGCATGGAGTTGTGCACATTAATTGTATAATTTCGTCCTCAAATTCTTAATATTTGCTTCAGATATTAGCCTTTAGAACTATTACTATTTCTATCAACATACAGACCTTCCTAATCAAATCTTCATTTAGCTTTAGCATTTCTTCCAAAGGAGTAAATGCCAGTTCCATATCTAGTTGGGTGAACTCAGGCTGCCTGTCAGCTCTCAGATCCTCATCCCGAAAGCATCTGCAAGAGAATCCAGAAAGTATCTCCTAGATTAGTTCAAATTATATATCTTTTTCAGTATAAATCTATCTTTCTCTCTTTGCAATATATGTCTCTTTTACTTCTGTAGGAGAGAGGAAAGGATATGCAAAATTTTGGGAACAACTGGAATTCGTAACAGATGGAAACAAGTTAAAACATCAACCAGGTAACAAAGTCTACTGTTAAACACAATCACAACAACACAAGTAAAGATCCGCAGTTAAGAACTGTATTACCTTGCTACTTGATAATATCTGTCGAAGCCTGAAACCATTAGCATTTGCTTGAATAACTGAGGACTTTGAGGCAAGGCATAAAACATTCCTGGCTTCATATACGCATATGGGTGAGTATAAGCAGTAAAAGATACAATGTGCAACAGGACAGGTCTAAAATCGCTCAACTAGATATATATACTTTCATATCCGATATT